AGTGGAGAAAAGTTTAAGAAAACTGCAAACTCTCAGAGCTGCATAAATGTAAATCTATTTTCTCAGCTACCCCATTTTCATACTGTCAAACTTCCACCATTTTTGTTTTTCTAAAAAGGAAAGAGAGCAGATAGGCTAGAGACAGAGAAGGGGAACAGAAAACCAATAGATTTTCCATTCAGAGAACTTTCTTTCTGACGTTAATCTTGTGAATTCTCAAGCTTCCTCCTTCTGTTATATATTCAAGATGGATAGTATTTAATATTTATTTGTTATGTATATGTAGGGGTGTGGGTCTGTACATATGTTGTATATAGTATGTTTAGGTGTACGTTATGTATGTGTTTCACTTTGAGAGCAGACAACTAAATTTCATTTTTGATGTGTGCCGTTGTGCCCACAAAAAAAAATGACAATAAAGTATCTTTATAAAAAGTTATTTTATGAAAGGGCTTTACATTCTTGCGTTGTATATCTATCCTCAATATTTTAACTTTCTTTAGCATATCACTTATATTTAGTAACTCATCCAAGTTTTGTCTGAGAAACAAAAACATTCTGGTTCATTATGATGAAGTGTGATAATAAGGCAGTAGCAACTATCATTAAATTTAAATTTCTAACAAAATTAATGGTTTCTAATAAATTTGTAAAATGTACTAGAGAACCACTCTAATTATCTCATTCCTTTTTTCCTCCCTAACCTCACCATTACCTTAATAGCAATCTGAGGGCTTGAACAGGTATCTGTTCTTCCTCTGAGCTTAAGAGGCTCATGTCTTCAGCATGCATTGTCCACTTGAACAATGAGTCATACTTCAAGATTATTCAATCGATTAGAGAAATCTTAAAGGGTAGAAAGTCCACATCTACCCCTCAACTATTGCTGAGAATTCGGAGAGCTGAAGTTTACACGTCTGAAAGTTGGCCAATTGTCTAGCTTTATGAGGAGGAGGAGGAGGAGGAGGAGGAGGAGGAGGAGGAGGAGGAGGAGGAGGAGGAGGATATCCATTCAGTCTTGTCGACTCTTGGCGATTCTGTGGGCCATGTCTCTCCATGTCTTCCAATTTTACACTAGTTCTTAGAGTTGTTCTATGCTTTGGCTGGTGTCAGTTTTGATAGTGTCCAGCTATCGTGTTCTTTGGTGGCCTGGTTTTCTTTTACCGCTAACTCTTCCAAGTATAATTGTTTTCTGCAGTGAATTCCCCCACATGACATGGCCAAAATATTATCTGCCATCTGCTTTAAATTTTATGTTTACATATGCAATGTACATATATGAAAATAATTTGTGTTTTCCTCTCTGGAAAGAGCATAATGTGGGCATTTTAGTGTCCCTCATTTCTTTCCCACAGAATTTAGTAATCAGCCAAGTGCCTAACCAAGAAATAGCAGTACAAGATTGTTAACTGCACCTGGTAACGGGATCTAACTAAAAAGGAGTAGTTCCATAGAGTGAAATAAGATAAGACAAACAGGATAACCAAATAAAGTCTATGAGAATAAAGTTCTATAAAGTAATTTTCCTTATTATTTTGCTTTTCGTAGTAACTCTGTATGCTTATGTTGTATTTTATGAGTACCTATAATTTCTCCAACTATAAATTCAAGTTAATGCAATGTTGTCTGAAATACCTCATATAAAAGCCTCACAATAATATTTAAGTATAAAGCCCTTAAAAGTTAAATAAATGAAAACTGGCTCCATCTCAACATAGCTTTATTGATCCTCTGTCAGAAAATATTCAGTTCTATTTTATGAATATTGGTAGACCTTAGTCATTTTTGAAAGTTACTTTTATAAATCCTGGGGTTTTTTTCTGGGAAGATACCTGTGTATTATAGCAAATAATATTTTTTGTAGCTAAGACTACATATTGCAAATGTACGTATCCTTGAAAAAACATTTTTCTCTCCTTACATTGTCCTTTCCAGGAAAGATGGGAAATTAGAATGGGCCAGTTATGGTGCATTAACTATAATACTTGCCCTGAAATTTCAGTCAGTTGCTATCTTCACTTTTTGAACAATGTAGTCAGTCCATAATTGAAGCTGTTATTTCTTAAATTATACCTAAATTATCTGCTGCTTTCACATTTTTGACTGTAGTCATCCAAATAGTACACTTTCCATGGGCTTACCCAAACTTGATGATTGCCAGATACAGATAATAAAATCATCTGCTCTACATGAGAATTCATATTTATTTTAATAACGACAATATTTTATCTGTGAAATGAACCCATAACCAAATGCTCAGGCGCTATTTTTAAATGTTATCCTTAAGAAGCTATTTTAACAAATTGCCTCCAGTGCTTTGTAAGCAGAAAATAATTTTGAATTTTAGAATTTCAGAACATTGAGAAGATATATTTGGGTCTTATATTACATTGATTATTTAATCTAATACTGATTTCATTTGCAAAACTCTTTTGTGTTAAAATCTACTCACCCTAAATTATAATGAGGGACTTTCGCAATCTAGCAAGGAACTACCATTTTATGAAAAACTGTATTTTGCAATAGTGATTTGTCATTATATGAAAACTATTTTTCCCTCAGTTGTATGCTGGAATATGCCTACATCTACATCTAATTTTTCAGTATTTATGTTTAATTTTCAATCATCTCCATTGTTCTCTGACATGTTTAGATCCATATTTGCATTCTCTGTAAATCACTTAATTACTCAGATGTTAAAATGGTATCTATACCAAAATCCACACACTTTCAAATCCCCAACTCACACACTTGTGTCATCAAGAAAAGGTTAATATATATTAATCTAGCGTTTCTCAACTGAGCTTCTGTGGAACTCTCAGGTTCCAGGATAGGTAGCTGAGGGTTCTGCAAGAGATAATGATAAAAAAATAATAAACATTGTTTTTGAACTTTGCTCACTGTGGAATGCTAGCTATAGATACCATTTTTCTGTAAAGATCCTCTGAAACCTAAAAATTATTTGAAATGTTCCTCCAGGATAAAATAGTTAAAGGCTACATTAATCTTTAAATACATCAAATTCCTAACGAGCATTACACATCTTTGCCTTACTCACAGTTCAGTTTAGAACTATCCGCTAAAGTTTTCATTTATTCTCATGCATGCTTAACTACAGGTAGTCCTTGACTTACAACAGTTCATTTAGTGACTGTTCAAAGTTACAACAGCACTGGAAAAAGTGACTCATGATTGTTTTTCACACTTATGACCATTGCAGCATTCCCATGGACACGTGATCAAAATTCAGATGCTTCACAATTGACTTTTGCCAATGCATTGTCTTGGGATCACGTGATCACCTTGTGCAACCTTCTGACAAGCAAAGTCGGTGGGGAAGCCAGATTCACTTAACCACCGTGTCCCTAACTTAACGACTGCAGTGATTCCCTTAACAACTGTGGCAAGAAATGTCGTAAAATGGGGCAAAACTCAATTATCACTTAGCAACAGAAATGTTGGGCTCAATTGTAGTTGCATGACGAGGATTACCTGTACTAGTATATATTCATTTTACCAGGATTCAACAACCAATCTTCAACCTTATATTTGCACAGAACATTCTATTCAAGTCTATTATCCTAAAATCAACACATGTATTAATACGTCTTCATTTTATTCATTTCTCAACAATTTGCTGAAAAGTAACAAATTGCATTAAAAGACATAAACTTTCGAGATCTACAGCTCACTTCACCAGATGCATGAAGTGGCTGAACCAATAGGAGATTTAAATTGGTGTAAAGTAGGAGGACAGAAGGGAGAGAAAGACAAAAGTGTTTCTGCAAAGCAGGATATAAGTACCCTATCAATTAACAGTTCTAATGTGTTTTTTAAAATGTGGTTTTTTTAGTTGACCTGGAACCATTTGATATATGTGTGTTTCTTCAGCACTCTCTAACTTAATTTTGCTGGTAAACTTTCTTTGTTCCAAAATAGCTACTTTGCATTGTGCAATAATTGATTTCCTGGGTGCTGAAGTACTTGTTTTGAATCCTGAGGTGAAATGTGTATCCATTAATTCTTTCTGCATAGTCTGGTCCATTAACTATGTTAGTCAATTGCCACAACTACTGTTTTGCCAAGACCATGTTCATGCTATTCTGTGCAAGGTAGGATCGCTGGTTTATAGACTACCTTGCAAGCCAACACTCTGTTGTCAGCAACCCATCAAATAGGAGATATATACAGTATACTACTACTCAGGATAAACTGATATATGTGATAAGAAGCTTCTGTTTTCTTATTAAACTTACTGTAATGGAATACAGCAGATTCCTGGGCAGGAGGGAGCACATTCCAGGGATGGGGGGGTGAGACAAGAGGCAACATAGTCCTGAGCTGGATTGTGGGAAGAGGGATTCAGGATAGCTCAGTGGTGGTGAACCTATGGCACGGGTGCCAGAGGCGGTACTCAGAGCCCTCTCTATGGGCATGCGGGCCGTCGCCCCAGTCCTAGGCCTTCAGCTGGGTTTTATAAAACCTTTTCGCTTTAGGCCTCCACCGTTGTGTGCAAAAAAAAAAAAAAGGTTCAATCAATCAGTCAATTTCAACTTCTCACGGGAAAAAAAATCTTGCAAAGTTGGAATTGATTGATTGAACTTTTTAGTCCCACCCAATCTGCCATTACCACTGCAGCCACGCCCAGCCAATGGGCCACACCCAGCCAATGGGCCACACCCACCAGGCACCCGACAATGCATAAGTAGGTTTTGGGTTGCAGTTTGTGCAGTCGGTCTCTAAAAGGTTCGCCATCACTGGAATAGCCATTCTCTAGAATTTCCTAGGATATAGCCATCAAGTGGGGCCAGTAAAGGTTTTATTTGACAAGGTTCTGTCTATACGGTATATTCAAGTAAAGAACTGAACTTTGGCTAGATTGCATCAAATCATTCTTGAGTTAGGTCTGACACTTACTAAAGTAATGAATATATATTATAGATTAAAAAATGTAAGTTAATGTTTTATCAAATTGAAATGTCCTTTTATCACTTTGGTAGACTCAGAATCGCATGAAACTGATGGCAGATAATTATGAAGATGATAATCTGAAATCATCTCATTTCAATCAAACTAATCATAAGCCCTCCCCAGACCAGGTAAGTTTATTGTTGTTCTTTTTTTTTAAAATGAATCTGTCACTATTGAAATATGCCCATTTTTAAATTGTATCTAAGACCAGGATCAGTTTTTCTGAAATAGAATCAAAGAAACTGTTTGTTGTAATTATACCATGAGTTTCCTTTTCTTTTATAAAATTGTAAAATATAAAAATATAAAACTAAGCAAATCATTAGATTTCATTGTTTCAGAACTCTTTTTGGTACTCTATTGGTGGGCCTATTGTTCTTATAATAATAGAGTTTATCTTTATTACGATCGCTGACCAATTATATGATTAAATAAATAGCTAAATTAATTAGTGTCTACTTCAAATAAAAGAAAATATAAAATTGTACTAGGTCATTGAGGTAATCAGAATGTAATCTTACAGACATAATAACAAAATTGTACCATATTCAAGGAAATTAAACTCTAATGGTCTGATAAAAGTAATTGCAGATAAAGTAGATCAGAATTACCTAGATACTGCATCAAATCTTATCATTATATGTGAGGTCTATTTGAAATGACCACTTCCTTTAGAAATATACATGCTCGAATAAGATCTGTGATTTACTGCTTATTCTAAGGGAGAGATTGGCTGTCTTCCCCATGGCAAAATCACTAAATGATTATAAGCTCCTATCTTACAAGTTTAGTAAAACTTGACATAAAAGAAATTAATTTATCATTTCTGATGCATGGGCTAGCTTTCTATGTTGCTGACTAAACTAAAACATGATTTGGATGATATCAAATGGCTTAGCAAACACAATAGCTAATGCAAGAGAACTTTCTAACTGGAAAAACATTAGCAGTAATATAAGATGGCCAGCTTACTGAAAATATTAATATTAGCTTAAAGAAAACTAAGAACTCATGGATTTTTCCACTATAGTTCTCAATGGCCTGGGGAGATTAAAGATGTTTTAGCCATTCTAGTTGATAAAAATATGCTATAATGACATTTAGATTATCATGAATAAGTAAATTATCCAAACATGCAATGATTCAGAACAGTAGAATAGAAAAGTATGCCAAAATAGTGCTCCCTTTCCTATTACATTATTAATTTGAATTATTTAAATACTAACCAGATCTTTATTTCATTCCCATGCTTCTCTGGTGCTTTTCCCCCTTGTCTTCTCTCAACCAATAGGATGAGGAGGAGGGTATTTGGGCATAGCCAATCAGATGCTCTTAGTTCAGCCATTTTGTTCAGAACGGTGAGAATTGGCTTTATTTACCAGTAGAAAAATATCCAATGATCACTCTTGCATCTTGCTTCTGTGTGATTATGTGGTTTAAGTGTCTTCCCTTTTCCCTTTAAATGTGGTCTTTGCATGTAGAAGTTATTCCTGCTTTTTGTTGTAGCTTTATTATTTTGTAATTTATGTTAGCCTTTAATTGTTTCGTGAGAATACTCTCCCAAAGCATGCAATTGAATTTACAGCAAAGCAATAGCATGATTCATAAAGGAACAAATGTTTCCATTATAATTTAACAGCACAATTTGAACATGGTTTCCAATATTTATGTTTAGAAAACTTTTCTAACAAAGTTGTATGTTCCATCTTTTATTCTTAAATTACACATAAATAAAAATATTTTATTTCCAGTGCTTATATATGAGCAAAATGAACTATGCTATTGACATTGCTGCAAGTTTATAAGGTGTACCCCAATTATGTAAAAGGTTAATTATAATAAAATTAGACTGGAAGATTAATAATAATGCACCAGATTCTGTGCACACATTTTGATTTACTAAATCTATTTATTGTTACCCTAATCCAGACATGTGAGGTTAACTTTTAGTAAGACAATCTGAGAATTAAATAAGTAGTCCCCTTCATACAGAAAATTGTTTAATTCAAACTTCATTGTGATCTCATAGTGTTTGAAGTTGCTTTTTTGTCATGTCTCTGTATGTTTAAATGGTTTGTAATAATACATGAACTATCTTGCTGAAGAATGCCAATGAACAGGAAGAGATAAGGTAAGTTAATTAGTTCAGACACATTTTATTGTAAAAATAAGTAGTAGGCAGGGTTTCATGAATAATGAGAGAAGTGTCTTATTATTGTAGTAGAAATCAAACTCAACATATAGAGAGCTCATTTTGTTGGGAAAAGTTCATGTAAGTATATTCATAGTTGTATTTCTTTCTCCATTTACTCTGGGATAGTATAGTGTTACCAGAGAGAAAGCGGTGGGACATTTTATAACTTTAAAACTTATTAAGCTCTGTCTTATGGAATAAATGATACAGTTGAAATAATAATATTTGAATCCAAGTGGTAGAACAATAGGATGTAAGAATATGAAAGTGAGATGAACGAAAAAGATTGATTGATTGGCCACTCTACACAAACGCTTTCTTGGTTCACTTGCCCATGACATTTATATTACAACAATAAAAAAATTATCAGCAGCTGATATAAGTTAATATTATCAGATAAAACAGTAAATAATAGTAAAAAGAATAACAGTATCAAAGCATCATCATTAGATGCATTGTAGAGATAGTGCTAAAATTAAATACCAAATACTTGATCATAAAAATAGATTTCTCTTAAAATTAGCCAGTTGGGTAAGTTTGCACCTTAGTAAAGAAAGAATTCCCATTGTTGGTACTACCACTGAGAAGACCCTCTCCCTAGTTATTCCTAACCAGGCTTTTTTCCTGACAGCACTTTAATAACCCTGTAGAGCAGTATTCAGGCTGGGGGATTCTGGGAGTGGAAGTCCACACACTTCATTCAGTGGCTGAGGTTGAGAAATACTTCCATACAGGATGAACAAAAGTCTAAGTTCATGACAAATGGGGAAATCATTTCTTTCAGTGAATAGGGCCCAAGCTATAGTAGCTATGTAAAACACATCCTTGTGTATGTAAAGTGCTTAACATATCCCTAGGTAAGGCATATTCTAATGATTTTTTCAGGAGGGAATCAAAACATGGATTACAGATGCCAAAATGAAGTTGTAAATCAATATTCTTTTTCTGTTCATTGGGAGGATGGGTTGGCTGGTTGATTGGCTGGTTGGTTGGTTGGTTTAAAAGAGTGAGAGTCACAGGGACAGATACATCAAAGAATAAGCAGGAGGTTAAAGATAAAGTTATTGTTTATCTGAGATTACATTTATGTATTTTTAAGAACTGCTAAGGACCAGATGATTTTTACTATGTCCTGATATGTAAAACCTTAGAGGGTGTACATTCTTTCTCACATGACTATAGTTTAAATCTAAATACTGAGATTACCATAAAAATTATTCTCTGCTTGTGTACAAAAGCCACATCTATTATTTTCTCATTCTTTTGTTCGAGTCTTGAAATTACTGGTTTAAAAGAATACTTGGTAATAACTTTAAGAGAAATCAATTCTCTTGCTGCTTAACTGCTTAAATTCATCAGGATTTAACAGCAGTATATTGTATGTCATTTTTTGTGTCTTTACTCTAGAATTTGTTATATAGCGTCTATAAAATATTTTTCTTTTACAAAAAGAACCTTAACTCTTTATCTGTTGTATCTTAGAAGAGCTGATATCTAGGTCCTTATGGTTTCTTACAAGCCGCGTAAAATCACATTGTGATTTGTGATTTCTTTTTTCTACCTATGGCTTATAATAGTATTAATGTACTGCCAGTTTCCCAAACGTTTTAAGAAAAGAATAAACTGACACATAAAAACAGCATTTCATGCTGCCAGTAAGGGGAGAGAAGCAGAGAATCAAAGAATCCATATTTAGGTGGAGGAGAAAGGCAGGCAGGTAGGAGAGGAATGACGTGGGGATGACAAAGGAGGTTACTGGTGAAACAATCCTTGTAGTAGGATGTAGAAGCTGGTTATGAGAAGGTTACAACTGGGAATGATAATTTATGAAAGATATTCCATCAGGATAAATTCTTACCTTGACAATTTGAGTAGTTGAGAAAATTAAACTAAATTGTCACCATAGTGGTGATTTGACTAGTTGAGATGGTTGGTTTTTAGAGATTTATGAACTTGCCATGCTTATAGAAATCATGGGAATATGAAACTTGTACCAAGAGCCCTAATCTAACTAGGAGTGTGGGACTCAGATTCTAGTCCTCCTTTAGACATGGAAGCCAACTGGGCCAGTTGCTTCCTCTCAGCCCTCATCAACATCGGATTGTATGACAGACCTGTCAATGAACAAAATACATCACATCATAGACTGAGAACTTTGTGGTAAGAACCAGGCAAGCACAGTGCAAAAACAAACATATCCTGCAACCATGTGAGACCAATTCTAAGAACAATCCCATAAGATACATTAATGGAGTTAATACATTTCATTACTTAGCACAGTTGAAATTCTTGTCAGCACTGAGATTTAAAACATGTAACTAAATAATATCTTGTAATAGTCAGTTTCTACAAATTGCTTTGAACCAGGTTTAGGAAATTCAGCAGCAAGTTATTTTCAAAAACATTTAAAAACCGACAAATGAAGAAATGCTGCTAGGGCAGAATTATTATTTTTTAATTAAGAAAGCCTATTAAAAATATTCCTGTCTCTTGGGAAATACTCCCTCATGGATGGTGCTCTAGAAAGCATGTAGGTGGTGCAAGGACTGGTGATCTGGTCCATCAGCCCTGTCTCTTTGGCAGGTGCTTTTGTATCCTCTCAAGATAAGCTCTGCCACTGTGGGAAGTGGTGCAGCTCTTGCTAAGTGGCCAGCTCAAATTAGATGTGGGAGAAGGCTAGAGATAAGACATACTTACTGATGAGGCAAATGAGTCCCAAGCGAAATAAGCAAACTCTTCAGAGAGCTCTGCTAGACTCCAAGCCACCAGAGCCAGCATTTCAAAAGTAAAACTATATCATCAACTTAGGAGGCTTCCCACAAGTGGTAAAGATATTGATGATAACAACAAAAACAATTCCTTTTCATTATTAATATAGTCTCCTCCCCATCTGCAAAGGCAAAAATGAATGATGCAGAAAATATTTAGACAAAAAGTTCCGCTTTCAGATATGTAGTGTACTTTTAATATATTTTAGCTCTCAACGAGAAAACACTCCATGGGAGAAAGATAATGTCAGTCATCTCAATAAGAACATATTTGTTTTCCTCATTTTAATTAGTGAAGACCTATTCAAACGCTCCCTCCTGTCTTAATTTTTCTTTTGTAACGTAGACTATTGATATTTTCCATCTAGGTTCCTTGTGGTGCTATTCCATGCTGCCTCTTTGTACAGCGCTAAAATGTTAATCCCAATGTTGTACTATAAACAGGGTTTCTACCAGAGAAAGGATTTTGACACCACTAATCTAAAGCTTTCAGCTCCTCCTATTGCATGGCCATTAATCCATTCACAGAGTGTTGGAAACATAGCAAAGGAGCCAGAACAATTGTGTGTTCATCGACACTGTTGAAAGTAATACCAGCACCTGTTTCTGTTGACTGAGAGATTATCACCCTTCTACATTCATTATTAGGGTTAAAGGGTATGGTTGGAAAGATACCTTAGGCCTGCTGACAAGCAGCAGGTGCAGCCACAATTCTGCTTGCGGTGAACATTGAGGCAGCCAGAAGTTTGCCATTGGTAGTCTTTCCTGAAGTTCTGTAAATCCTTTGTCAGAAATTTCATTTCATACTGCCTCATGTTTCATTGGTAACGATCAAAAAGAAATGTGGCTCCCTGCATTTTTCAAAACATTTAAAAATGGTATTCTAAGGTACAGTGGTTTTGGGGTGGAGGGGTTGTATGAAATGTTAGTTTCCTAAAAGTACTTTTTAGTTAAACAAAAGTGACTGCAAGTCTTCTGAGACTGTATCCGCACATACCCCTTCCTTGCCCAGTAGTTGGTGATTTCTCTCAGCTTTCCTCCAGTTTCTTGTATTAAAATTCATTAAACATTCCCTTCATTTCTGTTTCAGGCTACGATTGAATTATTTTCTGTTGTTTTAGGTAATTCAGCCTCTTTTAGACCTTGATCAGAATCGTAGCAAGTTGAAGTTATATATTGGACACTTGACAGCCCTATGCCATGATCGGGACCCTCTGATTCTCCGTGGACTCACTCCTCCCACATCGTATCACCTGGATGATGATCGTGCAGCTTGGGAGAAGGAGCTGCAGAAGATGACTCTGGAGCAGGTCAGAATCTGATGTTTTCATTGGGATGTTTAAACTGGGAGCATGTCTTGTCAGTTCCTTGGAAACTGTGATGAATGTTAGGTCTTAATTTGTTTTCTTTTCTAAGTAGAAGTGTCCAGTTTTTTACTTCAGGGTATAAAGAGTACTTCAAGGTGTAGGTACTCCTATTTTTAAATAATATGAACTCGGAAATATATTGTCAATGCAGGATTCAAGGTCAGAATTCCATGTTTCTTTTAGCACAGTGGTTCTCAACCTGTGGGTCGGGACCCCATTTGGGGTCGAACGACCATTTCACGGGGGTCGCCAAACAACGCAGTCCGCCATTTTTTTCCCCTTTTCCTTAGCTGTGCTACTCCCTTTTATTCTGTTGGTTTTTGAAAGCCAATAGAATAGACTCTCTTGAATAGAGTCTAATTCTATTGGCTTTCAAAAGCCAATAGGAATTGTCCAGGCTGTCTCTGCCCTGCTGAGCCCGCCAAAAGTCCCATTCTGCAAACGGTGCTGCACCAGTTGAGTAGTCCTCGACTTACGACCCGTTGAGTAATCCTCGACTTATGACCGGTTGGGGGGTCGCGGCATTAAAAAGGTTGAGAACCACTGTTTTAGCAGAATGGATACAAAAGCCCCCAAATTCAGTACGGTCAGCTTAACCCATATTAGAATAAGTAAAATAATATCTATTAAAGAGAAAAAAAAATGTGATGACATTTTATCCAGAGTGTAAAATTACTTTACTACGCAACTTCCAAGAAATCCTAGCTGATCTATGTCACATTGCCCTAGACATGCCCAAAGACCCAATTAAATTTTTCCCAGGCCCACCCTAATTACGATTAACTGCAGTTTATGGAGAGTAAGATAGCTTAAAAGCCTTAGACTCGTTCATGTATTACTGTACCGAGCTATTAATCATTATATCAAGACAAGGCTAAAGTATACCCTTTTTTATAAAATGGGTTCCAAACATTTCTGGTGCTTAAAGTATAAATGAGAAAATCTGCCCTTCAATTAACCTGGAATAGAATCTTGAGTGTATTTGTATTCAATCTATATAAAAGGGATTTGAAAGTGATCTGGAAATATGCTACTGCTGTATTTCAGCAAAAAAAATAGTATTCTCTTTATAAATCTGAAATATCCTAGTTAGTCAGACTGAAAATTACAACAAATCAGTATTTTTCTTCCTGTTTTTGTAATCTATAAATTCTAATAAAATTTGTCTTATTCTGAATATGAAAAGCTTTGCTTTCAAGAGGTTTTTTTGTTCTTAAAATATCTAAGTGAAATTTCAGCAAAATGTCATGAACTTAAAATAGGATAAAACACAATATATATCAAGAGGTTGACAGATAAGTATTAAATCTGGAGTCTTTCATTGAAAAAGTATTGTATGGCAAAAATAATTTTGCAAGAATAAACCACTTGTTTTGGATTTTGAAGAATGGTTATGGATCCTAAACTAGATGTGCACATTTATTTGCTGGTATAAGCTTTATACTTCAGTTATATTTGTTCAAACTGCTAGATAACTAATGTGGAAAGTCTGTTTCTTTTACTTATTGCAACAAAGATATCTGCTGCGGCTTGATACCTTTTCAGAGTATGTATGTTTCTTGCATGCATTTATGTATTGCATTTCTATCCCACCTTTCTTTGTACAGCTCAAGACAGTATTACATAATGCTTCTGCCTCCTATTTTCCCCAGGACAATAATCCTCTGGGATGCGTTGGGTGAAAGAGAAGGACTAGCCCAGGGGTAGGCAATCTTGGCTGTTTTATGAGTCATGGACTTCAACTCCCAGAATTCCTGAGCCAGCCATGCTGAGGGGAAAGGGAGAGGTTTCCAAGCTGAGCCATGCTGGCTCAGGAATTCTGGGCGTTGAAGTCCACAAGTCATAAAAGAGCCAAGGTTGCCTACCCAACTGTCTTTCCATAACCGTCTTCCATTTTCTAGTCTAGCATCTTAACCAATACATTAAACTAAAGAACTGCTTGTTTCTATATCATACTTATTTGAATATACATATATAACCATGTATTATATTTGCATACTTAGAAACAACTTTTATGACTTCCAAGCACTTAATTATATTGAATCTTTCTTTTACCATTTTATATACCTAATGCTGCTGGATTTTCTATTATTATCTGTTTCTATCCCAAATATCTTTTTCTTCATGCTTCAGCATGGCTCAGTTTATAACTGAATTTAAATCTTTTTCTTTGTTAAACAAATCTTTCACCATCTTGTGCCTCAAACTTGAGCCTCTGTATCATTCTTGATTTAAGATTTTTTTTATTTTTCCTCCTGAAATTTGTCAGTCTGATTTTTATAGGAGTTGCTATGATCAGAATAAACATCACCTTATCAGACTTCATTTTGTATACTTTAGTGGAAAGAAGTTTAATGCTTTGTAACTATTACACTAAACTAATAGAAAAAAGCATATATTTGGTATTAGAAAACTTGTATAATTTTAAAATTAATAATCACAGCAGTAACAAAAATGGGGGGCAAAAGGCAAAATCTTACCCTTTTCATCAGAAAAAATCTAAAAATATATATTTACCCAGAAAAATGTCTTTTCTTTTTTTCCGAATTTTGACAAAATCCACAGTTCTATGTCAAAACCTTGACAACATAAGTAATAAGAATATACACATGTATTAATACTAGAGGAAAAAGAGATATCCAAAGAACCCAGAATTGGGAATACAGTCTGTTACATAGAGTAAATTTCAGATATGTATCTGTTTTCACTTTTATTACAAATAAAGTATGCTGTGGCCAGAAAGGTTTATTCCCCCAATGTATATCCATAGTTGGTTGCTTATTAAGATCCACCCTTTCTCAAGTAATGTCAGCCGCTACTACCTTAAAATTCATGAAATAATACTTCTTCCTGACCTCTAGATAACTGTATTCTTCAGTTACTTGAATAAATCAAAACATCTGTTAGTAACATAAAGCAGAACATTTAAGCATATAGATAATCATTTTCTAATCCCTATACAAATATGTAACAGATAAAGACATAGGAATCATATTATTCCAAATCAGTACTCTGTTACACCTTTTAAATCATATTTGATTTCTATACCAGAAGCTTAGTTCCGTTTTGTTTACTTTCTTATATTGAACATTAATGCATAGACAGTGCAGTCTGCGAATGTAATGAGCCAGTGTTCTAATTTTTTCATTAGTAGGCCTCATTAAAACAACACCCCTCCTTCCTTCTTAATGTGTCCATATTTATCTGAAATTTATATGTCAGGACTCGGTGTGTCCTAAGAGTCCAAAGCCTTCTTAATCAAGCTTGGCCACAATCAAGTTTGAACAAAAACATTTTTTAGCAGTTCCTCTGACATGCAACTCATCTTGAGCCAGCAGTCCACCCAGAAAATTCAAACCATGTTCCCAGAAACCAAATATCTCCAGTCAACACCATTTGGATAGCCCAGGAGTAGGCAACTTTGGCTCTTTTATGACTTGTGGACTTCAACTCCCAGAATTCCTTGAGCCAGCTTGGCTGGCTCAGGAATTCTGGGAGTTGAAGTCTAGGAGTCATAAAAGAACCAAAGCTGCCTACCCTTGAGATAGCCCAGGGGTAGGCAACCTTGGCTCTTTTATGACTCGTGGACTTCAACTCCCAGAATTCCTGAGCCAGCCATGCTGAGAGGAAAGGGAGAGGTTTCCAAGCTGAGCCATGTTGGCTCAGGAATTCTGGGAGTTGAAGTCCACGAGTCATAAAAGAACCAAAGTTGCCTACCCCTTGGGATAGCCCATCGTTCACTTGCATTATGTTTCAGCCATAGTAGTAATGATCTGATGCCAGACAGTGAGTTGTATTAATGGAATTTGTTTTGTTCTTTTATTAATTTTATATGTTTATAATTTGCTGTGAGTCCATTGGAGGTTGTTAGTCTTATGAATATGGTAAATTATTACATTAAAATTATTACATCCTGGAATATCAGTAATATCTCAATTTCTCTATTTTGCTCCAAAAACTCAATGACCAAGGCTGTTTTTGTGCTAAATTTAGGTTTGAATCCAGACTGTCTAATAATCAGCTTTTTCTACCAGTTCCTGGTACTCTAGATTCACTGAGAGTCTTCACTGGAGATGCCATATTTTCATTAGCCATAATTTAAAATTGGTCAAAATCATAGATGTCTTTGCATAAAGTATTATGGGTCCTCCATGTTGCTTGGCTTTACTTTAATTTTACCAGTCTGGGCAATTTTTCAATATAGTATCACTACAAAAATATTTATGAATAAATGTTATACCATAATAGGATTAACTATTTAGAAATATATTTTCGACTGACATGTAAATACTTCATATTTCTTAACACCATTTTAAGAATCAAATTGGTACAAAAACAATATTTACTGAGGATTTAAAAATCAGTAGAAAATACACAGAAGCTGCCTTATACAAATTTGTAAATATACAAGAAGTTAAATCAATTCTGAAGTCAAGAATTTTCTGTTATGACACTTCCACTTCTCTACAATTAAGACTTGTAAATTTATCTTAGGTTTCCAAAGACTTTAATTTATTGAGGCCTGATAAGGTTCGCCCTAACTGATGCATCTCTTTCCACCTCAAGTTCTGAAGTCACAGCTTGCTTATTAGGTTTCAAAGAAGAAAATGTGTAAGAAATTAAGTTCAGAGAAGTGGACTGAGGTCTCAGTTGAGGTGTGCATGAAAGGACGGTAGTAGAAAATTGGGTTTGGTGGGTACAAATTCAAATTCCATCAAAATACACGGAGAAACACCCTGAATTTTTGGCCCACTTTGCTATAATTTTTAAGACATAAAAAGTGATGTTTTTGTGCAGTATATGTGTGACAACAGTCTTTCCGTCCCTGGGAATGAATTGTCTTAAAATTATTCTTTAAATTTGGTGCAAAGCTAACATATTCAAGGTACCATATTTTCCGGCGTATAAGATGACTTTCTAAAGCATTCAAATCGGCACTGAAGTCGGGGGTCGTCTTATACGCTGGAAATTACAGTAGTTTCCGGCGTATAAGACAACTTTCTAGGCATGCAACTTGGCGCCGAAGTCGGGGGTTGTCTTATACGCCGAGTCGTCCAAACGCCAGAAAATACGGTATTTGGTTGAAAGACCACCAGGTGTAAAGAAGCCATCAATAAAACATTTTTATTGTTATACTGATGCTATTTGCCAAGAAAACACCAAGGATGTATCCATTAAAATAGTCATCAATAGCCAAACATGTCTTGATAATGTTAACTTTGGAAAAATATTTCTGGCAAGTAATAATTATTTTGGAACTTCCAATGGTTCTTGCAGGGTGTGATCTCAGTTCAAGACAGCCTCTGCCTTTTAGACAGAACAGTGGGGTACAAGGAGCTCAAATCTCTTAAATCTATTTTGGGCTTTAAAATGTTCTGCAGATTTTTGTACAGGTAGTCCTCGACTTGCAACCACAATTAAACCCCAAATTCGTTATTGTTAAGCGAAACAGTTAAGTGAGTTTTGCCCCATGTTAGGACCTTTCTTGCCACGGTTGTTAAGTGGATCGTGGCAGTTATTAAATTAGTAACACGGTTGCTAAGTGAATCTGGCTTCCCCATTGACTTTGCTTGTCGGAAGGTTGCAAAAAGTGAACACATGACCCCAGGACACTGGAACTGTCATAAATATGAATCAGTTGCCAAGTGTGTGGGTTTTGATCACGTGACCGTGGGGATGCTGCAAGGGTCATAAGTCATTTTTTTCAGTGCCATTGTAACTTCGAACAGTCTCTAGTCCAGGGGTAGGCAACCTTGGCTCTTTTATGACTCGTGGACTTCAACACCCAGAATTCCTGAGCCAGCATGGCTCAGCTTGAAAACCTCTCCCTTTCCCCTCAGCATGGCTGGCTCAGGAATTCTGGGAGTTGAAGTCCATGAGTCATAAAAGAGCCAAGGTTGCCTACCCCTGCAGTAGACAAACTGTAATAAGTCGAGGATTACTTATATCTAATGGATCAAGGAGCTGCAGTTGATTTCAGTATATATTTGGATTATATGATTGCCTCCAAATAACATAGGAACAGCCCTTTTATTTTTTAACAACCCTTAGAGGGAAAACTGAATCTTGATTTGGCCGTTTAATGAACCCGAGTGCAGGGATTGAAAGATTTTTTTCTCTCTTTTTTCTTTTCTTTTTTTTTACAGCTTCATGACGAGCTGGAAAAGGCTGAGAAGGATAGCGCAGAGCTACAAGAGTTTGCAAATGCCATTCTCCAGCAGATAGCCGATCACTGCCCAGACATCCTGGAGCAAGTTGTCAATGCACTTGAGGAATCATCTTGACTGAAGCCAGCACTACTTCTCCACAGCAGCCTGTCAAAGGGTCAGGCCCTCCCAGTACAAGGAGTCATGAGAATAATAAAGCATATGAAAAAGGGAGGAGGGAAAACTCTTGGTGCACCTTTTTATAAACAAATGAACATAAACTGGTAATTCCTCCAGTCGATAATGCCTGCATTCATCTTCTTACTGCCTTTCTCCGTTGGAATATATGCCGCACAGTTACTTTCCCGTTGGCTCTGGGATGTGTCTGCTCTGAAATTTGCCAAGACTAGAAAGTGTGACGAGGCCTTTATTTTGCTTTATTTTACTTTCCAAATAATGAAAATCTTTGGCCTGTGTGGGGAAGTCGATGTCCTCTAATAGTGTCTTATAATTGGCCAACATCCATTTAGCTAGATTTGCTGCTTATGTCTCTAAAGGGGTTTTGATCCTAAAGGAGAGGTGGGAAGTGTCCCATATTCTTAGTGATGCATTCGTTAAATAAGCATGGGATATGTTTTAGTGTTTTCCTTATTATTCTGCTTGTTGTGAGCCTCACTTTTGTTTACCAAATGAGCCATGAAATCTGGTGGCTGTTTCCTTAAGCTCATTTTCTTGGTATTTTAGTCAATTTTACTATAACACTATTGTTGCATTTTTGGTTGAACGGTGCCCTTTTTTTTCACTTCTCTCAATTTTATCTGTTTCTGGGTTCTTGGTGAGTTGCATCATATCCACGGTGGTATCTTCCAGAGCCTCCATCCATGGTTGAGAATTCAGCATAGCTTCTCTACGTGGTATTAGGTTAACATGTTACAGTTCACAGCCTAATTAGGAATCTGAACATGCATTTGAATTGTATTAATAACGAAAATACATTTTGGCTATGGGCGCTGCTAGTTCTATGCATAATTTATTCTTAAAACATTCACTGGAACAAACTTTGGTTTTGCTATATTCCTACGTTCATTAAACTAATTTCCTTATTTCAGGTTTCAGGGTCATGAGGAGCATAAATACGCTCCTTCTTTGACAAAGAATGCAATTTCTCCAATATAGTCTCACTTTTAAAGATTTTTTTCTTCCTTTGGGGATGCTCCATTTCATTCTTCATCCCCTTTTCCTTGCTGCCTGCCTCATCTCTACCCAGCACATGCCTGTGTTCAGATCTGGAAAGCCAGCTCACATGATGTCATATGTACAATTTTGAAAGAATGCAGCAGGGCAAATTAGGTGTTCATGTTGTCTTGGAGATGATTCAGAAAATGGACTGGGCATAAATAAGCTTGGTTTTGAATTATAAACAGTCTTTCTTCTTATAGGTTTCATAATGAAGGGTTCATATTGCTCTTAGTTAGCACCTCCATGGTTTTAGAGATCTGTAATGATAGCTTTAAAGCAATGAGAGCCTCTAGTTAATGCTTTTTGACATAAAAGAGAAGACACTTGAATGATCTTAAGTTGACAGTTGTTTTTACCGGAAGGCATATAGACAGCAACTATACATACTATTCACCCACGTCTCATACCAAAGCCACACCTTTGGCTCTATTGTTTGAATGGCATATTTTGGTAGGACCTGCTGCTTTGAAATCTTCCTGTCAGTTTTCCTTCTTAGTCCCTAATTACTCACTGTAGGAATTTAATGCCGCCTGTAAAACCATCTCAGCCTTCAGGCCTAACATTTTCCACCAGTGCTTATCCTATTGAGTTATATGGTTAGATCTTTAGCTGCCCTTGTTCCCTGTTGTAAAATAATCCATTCTCTGTAGGAAAAGCTCTGGAATTTCCTTATCTCTGGTTGAAATTACTTCTGCTTGTAAACTCAACTGAGATTCTCCTTGATAGCTCTTTGTTTAGTTTTGTTTGAAGGGGGAATTTTTCAAAAAAAAAAAAAAAAGTTAGTTTGTGGTTGTTCCTACATTCTCATGTGCTTATTGCCTTGTTTATGCTAATGCTTCTTAAGCATTTAACTCTTCCCCCACATGTGGCTATACTAATGCAAAACAGGATGTGTTACAAAAAATACTATATTCCGATAACTTCTTAAAGGCCCCCATTGCAATGAAATGGTGATAAATACTATTGTTTGCATTCCATTCACCACATTCGGAGGGGGGGCAGAAATTTGTTAAATTACTCTTATTAATATAGTAGTTGTTGAACCCTTGCCATTCTAACCACAGATCTGGACTGGAGCTCCTGTGTAACTCTTCTTTTCCTTCCTGTATAATTTTTTTTACCCTCTATTGTGGATTCTCTTGCATTTTAAGGATGGATTTAAACTTTCAATAAAAATTTAGGGGAGAGAAAATGCACAAACAAATTCTTATCTGCGAACATTGATCTAAGCAGTAAAATATCCAGGTAGTCTTGATGCCATTTGGAAAGAGGTCCTGTCTTTCTTCATTTTTCTAGGAACCATGGGCCTTAAATGCAAGGTGTGGGCCATGAGTTTATAGAACAATCATCCTATTCTGGTTGGCTATGTCATCTGGGATTTCTGGACACTCTAATCCCAACTTCTCTGGAGGTTGTTAGGAGTAATTCTGGAAGAGCAAGAGCTTCTTATTTCCTTTTGAGCATAAAATAGAAGTTGGTTAACAATCTTGTAGATTTAAGCAACATTGGCACCATTGCAAGACAAAATGAAATGCTCAGACCTATGTCTGGCAATCTGATTTTTCATTGAACAGTCACAGCTTTCCTCAGTTTTGATATCTGCTACAAATAAGAGCAAGCTTTTGTGTCCAGAAAATATACCCCAAGAAGTTTTTCTGGAAAAGCATTCTTTTTTTTTTAATGTGCCTTGTTGCTCACTTCAGTTTTACATGAATTTTATTTAGATTAGCCATGTTAATAGATTTTGTTGGGTAACGAGGCTTGTCTGTTTTGAGAATTGTTTTCCTTTTCTTTTAAGTTCTGAAAAGCTGATTTTCAGTTAATAAAATATGCTCATGATCTTCAAAAATGCTACACAGAGAGAATTTGGCATTTTGTTATTAAATTGGTACAATTAAGAGCTTCTTGAAAGATTAAGGTAATTTCTCATGCCAGCTTCATTGGATTGTTTAATGATCCACGTTCTCACTCTAATTTCATCAAAACCAGGTTTCAAACATTTTTTAAAAAGAAAAGGGAACATCGGCTTCAGAATTATATAGTTATAAAAAAAACAGGAGACATGTCAATGTAAAACACATTTTTTTTCATGATTTGTTACAATCACTACTTTTGGCCCTTGGTTTTTGTGTAGAAATGCCAAGTACTATCTGAAAACTTCCAAAGACTTGCAATAGCTAAGAAACAAAGAGTACAGCAAATAGATGTACCATTAAATACCAATTTTTTTAATGTGGGGAAGGATTAAAGATTGCTGGGAATATATACACATCCGTGTTCATCAGTAGTATTAAACATTTGTTTCTTTTATCTATCAGTTCTAGTATTCTGTCAGGAAAATTTATGTATCTGAACATAAAATAATCTTCTAATCTCGTGAGTAAATCGCCATAGCATAGAATCCTGGAGTGACCTTATCAAATGGAAATAGGATACATTTTTCTCACAGTTGTTGGAATAGAAGTGAAAGTATAGATTTCTGCATATTTAATACATTCTCCTTTGGAAAAGGTGACAGAGCAGAGAAATCAGGCAGTGGGTGGTTTGGGGCTGCCAAATTTACCAAGACAAATTCTTCTCTTGCCAAACACTCAGTCTTTATCAGTGCAACCGGTGCTGCTTTTGTAATAAAACGTTTTTTACTTTTTTCCATTTATAAAGGAAACTGTTACCTTCTGAACAAAATGGCTGTCGACATTTTTTTAAAAAAAAGGATAAAAGCATTTCCGAACTTTTTAGTGTCAAAGCGTAAACATAAGAATACTGATTTTTCCAGTGCGTGTGGTGAGTGCTGTAACCCTGTCATCATTGGTATTCTTGGATCTTTCAGGGTTTTTTAATTTTATTTTTCTGTTTTGTTCTCTGCTTGTCAATTTACTGTCTGTGTGGTCCTCTGGCTGGGACAGTTACTGACTGTGTGTCTATTGTCCGACTTTAAATAAAAAAGGTAGAGTAGAAATTGAAAAGTTGTACTTTAAAAAAAATATAAACACTAAATGTATTGTGCAAAGGAATTCAAATATGAATAGGCAAAGTTGTGAACTCCTCCTTACAATTGTCTTAGGTGGTTCCCAATCTTGTTAATTTTAAGACACATGGACTTCAACTCCCAGAATTCCCCAGCCAGCATGACTAGTTGGGGAATTCTGGAAGTTGAAAGTCCACAGGTCTTAAAGTTGGCAAGATTGGGAAACTCTGGTCTAAGGAAACAGATATTTTAGGTTTAAGTTACCTTTTAGTTGCCTTTGTCAAACTTGAGGAAGACCAAACCAGTGTGGCCTTCATAGGAACATCACTAACCCTTGATTTCCTCATATCACTATGGTAATAAATCCCTTTACAGAGAAACATCAGTCCTGCAATTGTGGGGCATTTTTTTTTGAAGTTTCCTAGTTTTTTTAGTAATGCAAATTTAAATTGAAGGGATGCATGGAAGTTGACATTCATACTCTGAATTTTTTTTATACATAAGTTATATTTCCAATGCCTCTGCCAAGAGTTCCATTGTTTCTTTGAAAATATAATCTTAAAGGGCTTGCCATTGTGGTAGAAGATTTCTACTACTGCTCCATGGTTTGGCTAACATAAATATGCATAGCATAATTAGATTTATTATTGCTGCTAATCATATCTTACAAAACATGAATGTACTTTCAAACATTTAAACCTGGTTTGTTTGGGGAATTCCTATTACCTTTTCCATTTGAAATAACCAGTGTTTCAGCAGAGATGTATCTGATTTACTATCAAGTGTTCCTGCCAGAATAAGAACACTGAATTTATTGCAGATGGTTTGTAATTTCACCCTTGGGACATTCTTATTAATGCTGCATCTTAAAGATTTGAGCCGAGTTTAATTCATAATTGCCTTTAGTTTTTTCCATCTGTTTTTGGCTTAGATGAAGTAATGCATCTTTCAGGCATTCACCAAATAAATTAGAATTCATTGTGAGCATCTCCTTAAATACAAACAGCTCATAAGCTTGATGTACCTATATTAGCAACCAAATTATTGATGGCTTGTACATACCATTTTAAAGATATGATCACATTGGTTCAAGTGAATGAGATGCTCCTATAACCCGAAATGCATGCTGTTAATTCATCCCTGCCAAAATAGTTGGTTATTTTCATCCGTCTTAGTTCATGATAAACTCAGAACACTAAGTTCTGTTTTATCACAGTAATCATGAAGACAGCATTTAGACTGCCATAGGGGTGAAAAATTGTGGGATAGCTCCCCAAAGTTGATATACTGCAGGTGGGTATAGTAAAGATAGGATATTGTTTTTTTTTTTTTTTTTGTCTACTTGGAAAGTGATGTGTTGCACTTTAATAGAGGAGGAGACAACTTTTGCATATATAGTCTGACATACGTTGAGTTCCTTTTGGAAGGACTAGCAGTGGGAGATAATAGATGTCTGTAATACAAGTGCATATGCTGCCTTCAACATATATGTGTTTAATTGATGGAGTCATGTTACTGACAAGATAATGACTTGCAAAGAAATTGTGTTATATATATATTCAACTCTGCCTTGATAATATAAACATTTTGTTCAGTTGTTTCTTTTTTATTAACAAAATTCATGAGATTATAAACTTGTTTAAAAATTAGATGTTATGTCCTTTTTTTATAAAAACAAAAAACAAAACCTTCGTACAGTAAATTTTAAGGTCTCCTATTCCAAGATGTGAAATGTTCTAAGTGATGAATCTTCTGATGTCACAGATGTAGGCATTACACAGAAGATGTGTAGATATGGTGGGAACATCTTGAGAGAGTCGGGGACCAGCATTTTGGTACTTAAGACATGTTGATTATTCCAGTGCTTAACCATAAATGGCACATTGATCTTTATTTTTTTTTTCTGATGGATGAAATTGGCTTGCCTTTTTAGCACAGTGAAGAAGAGCATATCCTTACGAATATGAATAGAGTTTTTACAATACATGGTCCCTTTTGCATCTGGTCCTCAAACTCAACTTCCTTCACTACTAAAAGCAAGGGCTGCTGATACCTCTCCACCTCTAGTGCCCATCATATCTATTTACTTTGTGATAGTTGCCCAAAAGAAAGTCATTCCTTCTACACAATTCTAACCAGGGATAATTCATGGGGCCTAAGATTGTGGCTTGGCCCCCACCCCACCCTGCTATTGACAATGACATTCTAATAAACTGAAAGGGTCAATTGTGTCCTCCCTTTGTGTATTAGAACAAAAATAACTCCCTCTCTCATTAGTCTAATGGTACTGCCTTGGTTTCAAGAGACATTTTCCCATCTGCACCTAACCATGGCCACAAACACAGCCCGGCAATTTTTTCCTGCCAAGTTCCCATAAGGATTGTCCCCAGGTTGCTTAAGAATACATTTCAGCTCAGCAGTTTGAAAAGTCCCAGGGTGTATAAAATGTATAATGCTTGGCACCCACTATTTGGAATGGTGGTTTGTTACAGATGGAAAATATTCTAATTTGGCATAGAATTCTGTTCTGATTCAGTTCTAATTTGGATCTCTAATTAGAGATGTACCGGGGGGGGGGGACATCAGGGCAGAGAGAAGAGAAACATGCTGCATGCCGATTGTATGGATTCAGAAACTTGTGTGGCAAAACTACCTTATTTCTGGCCCACTTAACACCATTTTCCAGGAATTTAAGAGGGATGGATTGCTATGACCTAAAGGTCCTTTACTATTCATTACTCCCTCTCTTTCAAGACAACTTGAAAAGATTCCAGCACTACAAGTATGTTGACAATGACCCTTCTATTAACCTGTACAAGACATGGGAAAGTAGCTGAAATCCACTACTATCACCCCCTTCAGTAAAAGAAAAGAAAAAAATTCAGTTTTTTCATATATAACCAGCTTGTGCTGCTTCCCCCCCCCCTTTAGGATGAGATCTCCTCAATTACAAAGATCTGGGCCATTTTTAAAGTCAATTTACTGAAATACACACATAATTTACAGCCAGAATATGCAAACCAGTGTTCTCTAGTGGATGTTTTCGACCCCAACTGGAGATGGAGTTGATCAAGGGGTGGTTCTGATTGTGTTGCTGCTGCCACTGTCTCATCGCTAAGTGGTCTTGAACTTACGCCATTCTGCAAATCAGGAATATTCTTTGCATGCTGATACAATTTATTACTGTCCCATGGTGTATTTTGGCTTGGTCTTTATTTGTCTTACTGCAACTGTCAAGATAATCAAGACAAACTAATTACATGGTGGCCCAGGGATCACCAAAGGAGCTCAATTGAGTCTGAGCAACATAATACCAAAAGCAGGACAACCAACATGTTATTTTTTTCTGGGTTTCCAGCTGAGATGAATGCAGTGGTTCCCCAAGTTTTGAAAAGTGATGTTTTAAAAAATGTGTTTCTAAATTGCCGGTGGACAGCAGTCCAGGAGGAACAGTTGCATTTTCTCTCATGGTTCTTGAATCTTGAGAAGGGATGCAGTTTGAGAAAAAGGCCTACAGTGGAAGAAGCTATGTCCATTAAAACAGTTGTTACCCAAGTCAAATTCCTTTTTTGCCCAGATAACTTGACAGGACGTCTGATTCCAATACATTTACTGGAAAATAAAGTTCTTTTAGTTTAATAGGAATTCCTTAAGTGAAGGCTTCCTGACTTAATGGGAGCTATGCATTTATACTCCATTGCTCCATTTTGCACTGTTTTATTCATTATTTTGTGCACAGCTCTGCCTATGTGGGAAGAGCAGGAATGCTGTGGTTAATATGCATTAGCATTGCTTTACCCTTCAAAAAGGCAAAAAAAAACCAACCTCATTTTCAGCTCCATCCTGTTACCAAGGTTTGATGACTAGGGTTGGGAGATTTCTATCATACTCCTTTTAAGGGCTTCAAGGTGGAGAGGAAGGGCCTTGAGCCCCGAGGAACAAGACTTCCTGACTCATGCAAGCTAGACAACCCACACACCAATATTATATACAACCTCATTTCTCTCTTAGTAAGGGACATCCTAAAGGTCTAAAGAAATGAGAGATGACATGGTGCTTTTGTTTTAGAGGCTGGATCTAATTTCTTTTTTCCATAATCAAAGTTAGCAGCCCTAACTTTGCTGCCTTTTGAAGTCAGCCATAACTAGAGCAACATGGAAAGAAGACTAATATGCAACGATATGAAAGGAAAGCTTAGTTCAGCTACCTACCCTAGTTTGTCCTAGTCCAGACTAGGCAATGGAGTCTACTTGAGCCAGAACTGAACCATCAAACAGGAGTGAGAACAATTTTTACATGATCCTGAGAAATCTGATCGTGAGGGGGTGGGGTCAGAGAGCTTTAAAGTTCATCTGAGGAGGACCACAGAGAGCTGAGAAAATTCATGCAGTCAGGAAGTCAAAACGTAAATTGCAATATCATTCTCCCAATGAGATTGATGTCCAAGCCTTCTGATTTCCCAGAAATTCCTTAAAACCTGGTTTTGTCAGGCTAAGACTATGAAGCATGGGAATCCTGTGAAAAGGCTATATTGTATTTAAGTAAGATCTTGAAATCACTTTCCCATGTTTTAGTTAATAGAGTTTTATCTTAATTGTTTTTTTATTGTACACTACCTAAAATCAACATTCATGAGATGGACAGCTATATAAACTGGATGTATAAAATAATTTAAACGAACAGCATTAAATGACCATTCCACAAGTGAAAGCACTAACAAATCAAATGTCACCTGTCAGTCTTCTCCAAGCTAATCCTCCAAATGTGAGGATTTCCTAGCCTTAGTTTAGGCATGTTGACACTTGCAGTCCCATATCTAACAGCCATGAAGTTGGAGAAAGTTATCCATATAGCAAGCCATCCTATTTCTTGACTTCACTATTTCTACCTTTCAAAACAAATAGCTTGTGCATTCTAGATCAGGAGTCTTCAAACTTGGCCCTTTTATAACTTGTGGACTTCAAGTCCCAGAATTCTGGGAGTTGAAGTCCACAAGTCATAAAAGGGCCAAGTTTGAAGATCCCTGTTCTAGTTGATCAACAAGATGATGTAATGTTGGGTAATGAATAATTGAGAAATAGTTCTCAAATGCCAGGTATTGATGTATGTTCCTCTGCAGAATAGCAAATTGGAGTAAAAATGATGGGCCTAGATGTTCCAATTAGAATAAGCTAACGTCATAGCTAGCTTTATTATGTCCACCCATGTGTTCAGTGCAACACAGTAACACTGAAAGCTAAATGAGAGTTTATCTTTCCACTACCACTGGGAGTTGTTTGTTTGTTTGTTTTGTTTTCTGGGTGGAGTCAAGATCAATGTCTGTGGAGATTCTCAGTCATCCAGGTCATAGCTGTCTAAATCAGTGGTTCTCAACCTGTGGGTCGGGACCCCATTTGGGGTCGAACGACCATTTCACGGGGGTCGCCAAACCACGCTGTCCGCCATTTTTTCCCCTTTTCCCTAGCTGTCCTACTTCCTCTTATTGGTGGCCACACCCACTTGGGGGTCACCACAACATGGGGAACTGTATTATGGGGTCACGGCATTAGAAAGGTTGAGAACCACTGGTCTAAATGGTGCTTTTTCAAAAAAAAAAAAAAAAAACCATCTGGACTGTTTTTCTTCTTCCGCAAGGAAAAAAACAGTCTAGTTGGTGCTTGAAAAAGCACTTTTGAGAGTCAAGATCAACTTTAGCTACAAGGCTGTTTGCTACGCTGGTCTAACAAATCTGATCTGATTTGATATCATGTTTATTGTTCTAGAAACCTTTAAACATGCAACTGATTTATTGGAGAATTATGTCAATTCCAAATGTGCAACATTCTGCAGCAAAGTGTTTGACTGATTTATTTGAGCATGTATTTAAATGAGTAAGGGTTTTGCAAAGGCATATCCTGATAGAGCTGGCAATCTTTTCAATTTCAGGTTTGGTCACCTTTAGCTGTTCACAATACTCTTGACAAAGTAGATATAGAGCTTCTAACAGGGGGGGGGGAATGGGGAAAAGTGTATTCGTACTGTGTGATGCAGAGTAGTACAAAATATTGGGGGGGGGGAAACCAAGCCAAACCTAACCATTTCAAAGGACATTGTAGGAGAAGAACTGTGCTAGTTTGAGTCTGGAAGTACCTTTTCAAACCAAAACCCTTTCTTAAAAAGCATATGCTTTGGCCAATGCTCCTAACCATGGCCCTACTTACACCACCAGCTTGGCTTAGGAAGTAGAATACCATTTTAATATCATGAAGTGATGCTCTTCATACCCAGAATATGTGCTGCCCCACTCACTCACATACACACATACACGTATGCTAACCTAATTTACTAAGAGAAAAAAACCATATTAAGCCTAACGTTAACACAGCATGCTAAAACAAAGGTACAAAGCATTAATTTAGTTTAGATTTAACCACTGTTGTTTTCAAACTACTGTTTGTGGTTTAGTATGATGTGTGAACACAGGCTGAAGATGCATCAGATACTCAAAGCAATTCAAGGTGGATTCCTAGTCACTGCTACTACTGGATAAATCCATGCCAGAGGAGCAGATAAGCAGGTAGAGATGTTGAGTCATGAGCTTGGAAGCCTTATCATGGAGTCACTATACACCAGCAATCATTTGCAGCAGCCAAGTTCTGATAATATTACTGCCTGCCAAGAATTTAAGAGTTTACTTCAAGTAGATAGTTACGCACCTCGGTTCTAATTTACATGAAAGCTGGGACATGACTGTTGAAGTAAAGGATAGAAAAAGCCTGAACAGCATTCTTCAAAATGAAAAAGGTCTTCTGCAGTCATGACATAAGCCTAAGACTGAAAATCAGGCTTGTCAGATGCTATATTCTTTCTATCCTGCTCTATGGAGTAGAGAGTCGGTCTCTGACAGAAGGCCACCTGAAGAGACTAGAAGCATTTGAAATGTGGATTTACAGGTGGCTGTTACGTATAAGCTGGGTTGACAAGATCAGAAATAATGAGGTGATAAGCCGCCTGGGAAAGCCAAGGGAAATCATCAAAACAATTAAAAAACGAAAATTAGAATATTTCGGACATGTGATGCGACACCCAGAAAAATACAGCATACTCCATTTAATCCTCTAGGGAAAGATCGAAGGCAAACGAGGTCCAGGCAGAAGAAGAACATCATGGCTTAAAAATCTAAGGGATTGGTTTGGACAAAACTCGGCAGCACTTTTTCGTGCGGCTTCTGATAAAAACAGGATCGCCAACAGGATCGCCAACGTCCGATAACGGATATGGCACAAGAAGAAGAAGATAGTTACTGATTCTGCAAAAATGGGGTTCCTGTCATCATACTCAGAAGTAAACAATTTTTATTTCTTGAACAAGAAAAACATAGCAAGCAGTTGAACAGCTTCTTTATGCTTCTCTTAAGTTATCGAGACAATTCCTTCATAGCTACCTAATTTGCAAAATTTCCCCAGGGTGCAAGTTTTTAAAAACAGAAGGCATAATAGAAAATCATCAATAAAGATCAATTGAGACTTTTGTTTCCTTTTTGAAATAGAAGATTCAGAAATCAAGTATCCATGAGAAAACCTTTCTGCACCCTCAACTATGAGTGATGGTATCAATCAGGTTGGGGATGCTGAATCTAAAATAGTGTTTCTCAAACTTGGCCCCCTTAAGATGTGTGGACTTCAACTCCCAGAATTCCTCAGCCAAGCCATGATATGAAACACTGATCTAAAACAGCCTAATAATGATGAATTATTACTCATTTCTAATTTTAAAAACTCGGAAAAAACAAATATGGGTTATATGCATTTAACAGATTGTGAAATGTAGCATTAGTCTAAAGTAATACCAATTGGAAAAAAAATATATCTTCTTGCTGGCATTGCCCCACCTAAGATCAGGAGAGAATTAGCAGCAGATGCTGAGATAATTCAGCAGGAGAACAATCCTTGACATTGTCTCAATGGACATATGCCCTAAGCCTGCCGACTCAGATCTGGCAACAGTTTTATGGCAAGAACAAACATTCTTGAGTGTACACAAGAACAAAATTGAACTAAAAGATAGAGGAAGGAGACTGTGCAAGGAATAACATTAAAGGAGTATATGGCTGAGGGATCTGACCTCCCTTATACTACTTGGAGGACCCTGAATAGGTTGAGAGCTGGAGTGCCTAAATGAAAAACCAATACACTCAAGTGGAGATTCTTAGTGGATAACAACTTTCTATGGGAATATGGAGAGACACAGAGCCCAGCCAATCTGGTAGTAGCATGTCGGCTACTACCAGAAACATGTACCAGTAATGATTTAGTTTTGGCCAATGACAAAGCCAAGAAGGTGGCTTCATTCTGGCAGTTTAAAGTTTGATCTAGACCAGGGGTGTCAAACTGCCGGCCCGCGGGCCAGTTTCATCCTACCGGAGCCGTGCCCACGCAAGTTTGACATCCCTGATCTAGACACAGAAGAAATCTGAAGTAATTGACTGTATGAAACATTCATTGAAATCTGCATCAGATCCAAATATAGCTTTTTATGCTTAATCTTGTGAGGTCCTGAATGCATTGAAGAGCTTACTTTAAAACAGACTCTTGAAGCTAACTTCCACAGAACAGCTTCTATCCCTGGTGCAGCAAACCATAATTCATTACAAGAGTTGAAAGATGGGATGGATGCTAAAAGCAAGGCCAGTCGGTCAATGGAGACACCCAAGTAGCTTTTTAAAAAACAAAATGGAGACAGTGCTCTGTTTGCATGTCTCTTGGAGATGGATGATTTCCCACTTAATGCCGGAAAGTATAAACAACATGCTTTGTTTTTGTTTGCTTTGAAAGACTTTCAGATAAGTACTAAATAACAAGATCTGCAACAAATAGAGCTAAAAGCCTAACATTGCACTTAATCCCAAAGCTAACTTTCAATCTGATTCAAGCCATGCCATGAAAGAGGGCGTGCTTTTCGTCTGGGGTGTGGTTTGGTTTTGTGTAGGTTTGCAATAAGGATTTACAAGGAAGCTACAATGTTAGATGAGGCAGCAGAGCTGGCAATCAACCTCTGGCCCCATTAGATGCGAAACGGGACCAGATTGGTAGAAAGGAGGTGGAAGGTGCAATGAAGAAACAAGTTTTAAAAAAAAGTTTGTTCCTGTCATTGAACTAAAATTTCATTACAGTATCTAATGCATTTTCTACATTCTTCAATGAATCACTTCCATGAAAACAATTATGTACTGCTATGTAATAATGGTAGCATTTTACTCTTGATTTTATCATAATGACGATGGCCTTGCTGTCCCTCTCTCCTATGTAGCTACTCAAAACTGTTGCTCTCCAATTTTATTGGAAATACAATTACCACAATTCTAGATAGATCATTCTAGGATTTGCCTTAAATAAACAACGAATGAAGCACAGGACATTTTTCGCTACTCTGTGCAATACCTAGCTCATAAACTAATGTCACTCACATATCCAGCAAATATGTTTGTTTCCGCTGTGGATGTGGAAGTTCTCGTTTTGTCTTTGCCTGGGGTTTGTATATTTTGCTTTTAATAACATGTACATTTAATGCTGATTCTTATATTTTTATACTGATAATTTTACATATGTGTTGTTTTATTGTTGTATATAAGAGTCACTTTTTGTGAGCTAGGCAGCTTTACAAGTTTGATTAATAATGAAGGACTCAGTGGATAGATAAAACTACCAAATCTAATCATCTGGCTGACCGTGCGACCAACCATAATGATAAATAATAATTGACAAAATCATCATCAGTCCATTGCAAAAGGCAGCTTTTCTTGGAACAGCTCGTACTCATTACTTTTTTCAGTGCTGTTGTGACTTCAAACGGTCAGTAAATGAATACTTGTAAGTCAAGGACTACCTCTATGTGTGATGCATGGCCAGAGTGTGCAACCATACCATATTTCCAAATCAAGCTGAGATAACTGTAGCCTGAAGCTTTCCTTCTTCCAAGGGTCCACCTTTCCTTCCCTCCTTATATATTCCTAGGTGTGCAGTTAACAAGTAGGCTGGCTTGGTCGCTCAAGAGCGAGACACTGGTGAGACAGGCATAGCAGTGCCTGCATTTTCTGCGTCGCATGAGAAAAGCACACCTTCCTTCCCCTGTCCTGATCACTTTCTACAGGGGAATGATCGAGAGCATCCTGTCATACAGCATCACAGTCTGGTTTGGAAGCATCACTGCTTCAGACAGGAAGGCGGTACAGAGAGTGGTGAGGATGGCCGAAAAGATCATTGGCAGATCCCTCCCTCCCATCCAGGACATAGCACAGAAGCGTTGCTTGAGCAGGGTCCATAAGATTACACATTCTCTTCACAACCTGTTTTCCCTGTTACCTCCTGGGAGGAGGCTTCATGGTATCCGAAGCAGAACATCCAGATTCAGCCATAGTTTCATTCCATATAGCATTAACCTTGTGAACTCTCAAGCTTCCTCCTTCCGTTATACATTCAAGATGGATAGTGTTTAATATTCATATGTTATGTATATGTAGGGGTGTAGGTCTATACACATATTGTATATAGTATCTTTAGCTATGTGTCATGTATATGTTCACTTTGAGAGCAGGCAACTAAATTTCATTTTTGATGTGTGTCGTGCCCACAGTAAAAAAATGACAATAAAGGTTATCTTATCTTATCTTATCTTATATCTTATCTCGTATCTTATTTTATCATCTTATCATATCTTATCTTATCCTATCTTGCCTTGCCTTATCTTATCTTAAACTATAAAGCTTTAACAGCTACATTTTTGCTTATTTTGAATAATTATTTTTGCAAAGTCAGAATTTTCTTGTAAACTCTGTCTCTATGCAACTATTAATTTGCTTGCACATCTATAGTGTACATTACCAACAAGTTTCTTAGAAATTAGTATGTCTGTAGGATATCATTAGTGCATTTTTCAGTTGGTTCAAGTTCTAAATGCTGGAAGATTCATTTTACTCTTTAAAAGTGCCTATGTAATACCATGGATTGAATATATAGACATATGTCATGCTTTACTAAATTACTCAAGAGAAGCAAAACTATGGGTTGTGTAGACCCGTGTTTTTCAAACTTGGCACCTTTAAGATCTGTGGTCTTCACCTCCCTTGCCAGCTGGAGAATTCTGGGAGTTGAAGTCCTCACATCTTAAAGCTGCTTGGTTTGCAAAAAAAAAATTAATACAGACCAATCCAAACACCTGCTTATTTGCTCCGATTCCATGAATAAATGTATCAGGTTATGTAAAATACTATGGCATCTTACAGAAAGGCTACTCTTGAAATAATTAAGAGGTCATTATAAGAATAGGCCCATGTGCTGCATGACTAAAGGGTATGCCATACAGTATATATCTTTTCGGTGGATAAAATAGCTTTTCCCAAACTTGATGGCCTCCAGATGTGTTAGACCTCCGCTCCTATAATTCCACAATCAGCATGGTATTTGGTTGTGCAATTGAGAATTCTGGCATTTGAAGTCCAACACCCCTGGAGGGCCTTAAGTTGAGGCATGCAGAAATAAATGATTTCTGTGGATTTACTCTCTCCTAGACACAGCTGGGACTGCTCACCCACTTCTTCCTTTTCATCATCCATCACAGCTGTCCTTACATGAAGAACAGTCTGCCGTACTCTGAGAGTGATATCTAAGCACATCTTAGATAAATCTTTGGGATGGGGGAATTTCATTTTTCCCAGCTTTTAACTATCCTTGGATTGATAGGGTGGAAGAATTTGAACTGGCGGCCAGAAATAAATCCGTGCTTGCAGAATGCCAGTTATTTCTGAATATTCAAAACATACTGTGTTCTTTTTTTATAGAGAAAGCTACATTTGCTTTCATACCTTCTCCATTCTGTGTTTTGGCTTATTTGCTTTGGATACTGGTTATAGTTCAGCCTTGGAACACCTGGTATTACGAAGTCTGTGCCACATGATAACTACACCCAAAGGTGGACCGATTGCCTGGGAAGCCTACTCTCTATTACTGGAATTAATCAATAATTATAAATACTGTAATGGTATCAGCAATGGCACAACAAACCTTTATGATATTCCATTGGATAAGACCAAGCGCCTTTGTTGAATCAAGTATCTTGTTACTTACCATTGTCAATAAGCATCTGAGAAGCCAGCCAGCAGGTCTGGAGAGCAAATGCTATACATGACCACTAGTAATTGGTATTCAAAAATGCTGCCTCTGATACTAGAAAAAAAACATATAAGCAGGCTTTTAAAATCTCATATATTGGCTTATTCCTCTTCATGTCCTTCACATTCTAAAAGATTAGTGAGATAAAACTTAAAAAAGATACCTCAACTGTTCTTCAATTCTAATTCTTCAGGAACCATCTCTGATTTCATGTTCCATCTCAGCAAGGTACATTGGTTAGTAAGGAAACAATATGTCCCGACTAATCCTGTTAAAAAGATGAAGAAAATGGTTAACGGAGGCATATATTTTAACTTATAAGCACAGCCCCCACAGATGATAACTGATGAAGTTTAAGATATGCAAGCCTGATTAATATGAGGTGTTAAGCTGACCTCTAAGTCAGATCTCACTGTTACTGTTCCCATAATATACTTAGTCCATCAACCACTAAATCGGTCAAATCTTACCTCTATTTCTGGCAGAACACAATCATGTCGAGCCAAAAATTATATCTAGGAAGTGCCCAGTTTCCCATGACCCTTCACACTGGCAGAATACAAGAAAGACTTAATGACTTCACTGCTAGACAGGCAGCAATAAGCTTGGTTTGAACTGTGTAGTCAATCAGTGATTGGGAAGTGTCTCCTATGGACCAGTACCGGGCCGCGGCATGCCAGCAACCGGGCCGCACAAACAAGCAAAGCCCCATCCGCGAGATGCAGGCAGAACACAAAACCATGCCCCCTCCTGTCCACAGAAAAACCTCTCTCCACAGAACCGGTCCTTGGTGCCCAAAACGTTAAGGACCTCTGTCCTATGCTGCCAAGCATGCAGATAGGTCAGTTGGGTTCCCACAACACAATCAGATGGAATTGATTTCATTTTGTATGTGGCTGAGACCATCTGAATTCTCATCCCTAAGGTTTTTTCATGGTATTCTCACAACCCACTAAACTCCAATTAACCATCCAGTTACCCATGTTGTTAAAATAAGACTTGGCTTCTCATAAGCCATTCTCAGCTGTAGTACTTCCATATGAAAAAAGATAACCTTGGCTTAATATATATTTATTTAGCATAGAGTGAGAACATGACAGAAAAGAAATAAACATATGCACCCAACCCATGACATTTTATAGAAAACTTGGGGGGTATGGCAGTGGCCTCATAACTGAGTGCCCAATTCATCTAGCTAGGCAATTGCCTCTGGTGCTGCTTTGTGCAGATCTTCCAGGGAACCAGAGAGTGCACATTGTGGGCAATCTTTCACAATATGTTTAATAGTTTGCATATAAGCATCACAATCACAACAAGAGGACTCTTTCCATCCCCACTGATACAGGGCAGAGGCACTTCTTCCAGTATCCTACCTAATTCTGTTCAATTTTATCCAGGCAGAGCAAGGCAGATCAAAACCAGGCAGAAGGTTCACCAATGGTCAGGCCACAAGAAGGTACCTTGAACCATTCCTCTCTCCAGGCATTCTCAGAGTTAAATTGGCTAGATGTTAAGTGCATAGCGTTTTCCATGCTGGCCTATGGGATTTCAATCTTGACATTAATAGATTGTGCAAGTGAGAATCTACCAGAGTATTGAGCTTCGTCTCTCACAACTCACAGTCAGCATTCTTTAGCTTTGTTCTTTTGATGTGGTTGCTCTTTTACCATCCAAGTTGCTCTTCTAGGATGCTGGATTGGAATATGTAGAGGAAACTGCTGGAAGGGGGGGGGGAGAGAACAGTGATCTTTGTCTGGAAGAGTGTTGGGAACCCTTCATCAACATAAGAACACATGCAGGCACAAACACAGTCTGGCCAGCAGGCCCTCAAGCTCCGAAAAAGTCAAAGGTCAATTTGAAAAATGGTTTATTGCCAACAATTTCTGAGGATTGAACCAAAGGAATAGAAGGACAGAAAGGAAGAGGATATGAATCGGAGGAAGAAGAGCACAGATCTCTTCTATGTACTGTTTAACTTTACAAGACCTCCCAGCATCTCCGCCTTAATGATAGCAATAAAAATAAGGACTGAGAATGGCGCCCACTGAGATTGTATTATGGCCCTCCAGCCATGTAATGTTGGTTAAAGCTGATAAAAGCCTAAAACAAGGATTTTAAAACTATTTGTGGGTCCACCCCACCCCCCCTCAACTAAACAAACAGAAACCAGATACTCTTGTTTTAGTGTCTGTCATAAGGCCTCAGATGACAGTATTTAGCTCCTTCTGTTGAGCTGGTGCTTTGATGTAACTAGACTGGTTCTCTCAGTGGAACTCTATATGGACTCCATTCTATCAATTCTTTTTAAGTACTAGAAGTTGTACTTGGATGCTCTGCATACAATGTATATATTTTGCCATCGACAATCCCCTGCTCAAAATGGTACTAATACTTGAATTACCAAAGTAGCATATATTTTACCCTCGACTTGAAAAAAATATACCTTGTATAGCCATTTTTTCAGCATCTTGTTCTGATGTTAAACATGCTTTTCTATCCATTCGGTTTTATCTGATATACCCTTTTTTAAGAGAATATTACTAGGGTTATAGATTGTAGCAGAATATTAAGATACAGGCACTCTCTTAATTATGCTGGACTCAAGCCACCTAAGAATTGAAAGATTATCACCAACAAAATGAATTAAATTCAGAATGCAATTGGAAGTTGAAAACTGATACTTTGGTCTCCTACCTTCTCTCAAGCACAGGGTTCAAAGGACAGCGACATTGGTCTACTGGAACAACAGCAAAAACCTGTCTTTTGATGCCTTGAAGGTTAACACATTTACTATCTCCTGTGTTTTTGTGGATCACAGTTCACCGTTGATGCAATATTAAATCAGACTTTAAGGTGCCACCAGACAATGTATTTGTCTAACCACCAAATTCACAAACGCATTGGTCACTCAGTGCATCCTGATTGCTCATCGGTCTTTACCAAGACTTGCATAGGACCCACAACTTATATATCCTGACTCATGCTTTCGGCTACTTAAGTATTTTGTTAATACCCACACGATACCCCTTGTGTTTAGTTCACAAGGCTTTAAAGGGGGTTAGCCTAATACAATTACTATCAACAACTATTAGTTATGATAACCAAGGTAGCAGGAAAGACTAATTTAATAGGCCAGGCCAATTTCAAGTAGTAAAATGTTTAAATCACTACATATCTCTCATTAAGTATATATCTGTTGAAGAATCCAGTATAGGGAAATTCAAGGAAAAAACAGTTTTAAAAGTTTAGTTTAGTTATACTAACTAAAACATCTAGTAACTCACCAAAGCAAGCCTGCAGGTACCACATACCATAACAAGGTCCTAACACTTTGGAATCTATCTGAAGACAAAGGAGATTTCAGAACAGAAACCTGTTCTTATGAGAGTTGGGTTAATCCTCAGCTAGAAAAATAACAATGGATGAATTAATATCTGAGATGATCCAATAAAAGGCTAAATTAAAAGAGGAAAGGCCACATTGTCACAAGCAGATCTTACTGACATTTGTCTAGTGGAACCAGAAGTAATTTGAGGTAGGTGTAGCATTAAAAATCAAGTAGGTCATGCTGAAAAAGATAGGTTACCCCAAAGTTTGAGGGCAAAGAATTTTCCAGTCCTAATTCGGTTCTCTAGCCCACGGTTCAGCAGTCTGGATTTTAGTTTTTAAAATTCTCAGCAATGACTAGCTTGGCCAGAGAATTCTGAAGGATGAAATCCAGACATCTAGAAAGCATATATTTTAGGAAAGGCTGTTCTAATCACTATACCAGTCTGGCTGTTAGATCTGGCAATGAAGAGTGCTCAGTCCTGATGTTCACTGGATGATTGTGATAAACCATTTTAGCTCAACCTAAGCTGCCTCAAGAAAGGCTTTGAGACGAATACTGAACTAAAAGAAGAAGACAAATATATGATATACCCTACAAACACATATCTAACAAGTTAAGAAAGACTAAAGAACATTTCAACATTCTTTCTTATGGCTAAAAGCTTCTGTTGTTTTATAAGAAACCGCTTCCAGAAAACCGTGTTTCTGTCTCTGTTCCCTGCTTAGCATCATGCTAATTGTATAGTTAAATGAACAAAGTTCCGCTTTACTCAAACATTCGTTCTCTAAATATTTGCAACATTCCCCAAGTGCGATTTGGATGAATGATACTGCCTCTCTGTCTTTGCAATTGCACAATTAAGATTAAACCCAAAGAAAATAGAAACCCAGCCCGTGGGAGATCTTATGGATTCTACAAAAGCCTTGCATTCTTGGCAATGTTGCCTCATGTAGGTTTGGGATAGATGGGGAAAGGACTCACCATAAGGCCATACCCTATAACAGGAGTCCCCAACCCCATGGTACCGGGCCATGGCATGCCAGCAACCGGTCCACACAGACAAGCAAAGCCCCATCCATGGGATGCAGGCAGCACACAAAACATGCACCATCCAGTCCGCGGAAAAACCTTTCTCCATGGAACCGATCCCTGGTGCCCAAAACGTTGGGGACCTCTGCCCTATAATCATAGTATTCTGTAAAACAGAATGGTCAGATGAAGAGACCCTGATTCAGTAGACAATCGGGTCTTTTCTTCTCATCAGTTCTCCAATCCTTAAAGGGCCCTAATTTGGGACTTTAGACAGCCACCGTCAAGCAGAACGGACTACGTACTCCTTGGGTGTAGTTGTGTGATGCAGTTGAACTACACCTGGGGAGAGAATGTAAACATCAATTTGTCTCCTGGGGAAAATGAGAGAAGGCAAATATTATAAACTGTACCTGGCTTTGCTTTGAAGTGCACTTTGAATAATGATTCAGTCACTCCTGAATCGTGAAGGGTATCTTCCGCACATCAGTGATGCTTTGTTGCTCCCAGATCTCAAAATGGAAGGCTCATGTTGACTTTCTTTATTTCTGCAGATTAGGTGTGCAACCTGAAGTAGGATGGAAAACTGGTATTATGGTATTCCCATAATACATTTGACTGCATGAAGTTAGCTTGATTTGTGTTATACAGCATTTGTTTGGGGTTAAACCTGACTCTTGGTGTGTTACTGACTACGTCAACTGACTCCATTTTAGTATTTCCATAACACACAATCCTTTGGACAAAACTGAGCATGTTTTTTGAGAACAGGGCCCAAAACAATCTTGTGACATCTTATAGTCTAATACACGTATTATCACTCAAACTTTCTTGGACTAATAATTCATTAGTTCCATGACATAGTCCTGTAAACACAAGGACTATGATACAAGTGATACAGATACAAGTGAATACCTACATATCTACATGCAGCACACACAGAACATAGTGTGTTTTATATTTCTCAGTAAGTAACTATAGATTTGCACATAGCACTAGAGCACGTTTTGTTGAAAAAAGCTACAAATTAAGCTGTAGATCAGAGATGACCAATATTTTGGAGGCTGGTGTGTGCATTTAAGATATACGTGTTTCAGAGCCAATATGGTACAGTGGTTAGGTGATAGCCTGGCATGGAAATTCATTGAGTACTTTGAGCCAGTTACTCTATCACCTTTTGAAGGTAGTCCGGTTTGGAAGTGTGCCTAGCTAAACTAATTCTACTTTACTGTTAAGTTACATTAACATAGATTTGCAAGTCTGAAAATACATTCCTTCCCCATCACTTTTACACCCCAAGAAACTAGGGAGGATTACTTTGAGATGTTTGCTATGCCCACATTCCTTCTATGGGCTAAGCTGCTCTTATCTGACCATTCTCCAGCTGTTGCTGTTCCCCTCTTCCCCCAAGGTCATCTTCACATACCATTAAGCTCTCAGCTCAACCTTCTTCACAGGTTGTGGTGGTGATGACAAATTGGAGGAGGAAATACTGTGTATTGCTCCTTTAGCTTCCAAAGAAAAAGTAAAATAAGTAAAAAGCATACAATATCTAAGCTGCAAAATTTAGACAACCATGAGATGCTAGTAAAGAGATACAGGACACTCCCATTTTTCACCATCTAGTGATCATCCGGATTTTTATAGCCCTGGTATATGTGTGTATCTTGTCAAGGATTTGTCAGGTTTGCTTCTATTTTACCGTGGGATGTTTGGGGAGATTTCTTTACTGCTTTAAACTACAATAAATGGACATTGCACGTTTCTGTGTTACCCACATCACATCAGAATGCGGTGAAATTCTATCATATATTTTCAGCAACTGACATTGACGGAAGATCCTCAGGTCTAAAAAAGAAGAGGTTTTGTGAACATGCTGCCCTGCAAATCTCAAACTAGCCATACACACCATTAACCACAATGACTGAGTTCATACAACACTCTAAACCCAAACCACAAAACCACATTATGGCTTACCACAATGTGTGAATCCAGCTACACAAGCACACACATGAAAGATTTAGATTTGTTGTGAGATGGCAAGCACAAAGAAAATGTTGGGATTGGGAAAAAATAGACCAAAGACCGTTTGATGTGGTTCTGATCATACCCCCTCCAACAAAAAGCATTTCATCAAGAGGAAGTGGTTAACTTCTGGGCAGATACTTCCACAATACTGCAACAGCTGCCTTTTGATGCCAAGTTTAGCTTCTTATCTATACTTAAAAGTTTTTTATATTATTTTTGAGAAAAATAAGACTCCAGTTGTCACACTGCCAATCATTCTCAACTGGACAACTTTTTAATCTGAACTAGGTAATTACAAGTTTTGCTGATTGTAGTAAAGTACACGATAATTTAATGTAAAATAATATTTGTAACGCCCTTTGTACTCACATGCAACCACTGTAAACTGAGCTTTCAGTTTATGCTGATGTTGAAAGTGTCGGAAGACTGCTGAAAGAGCCTCAGCAGTCTTCTCCAATCTAGTGCCCCCCAGATGTGTGAACTGAAAGATCTGGAGAGCATCAGGTAAAGGCAAGCTTGTACTTAAGGATAACAACAACCATATTGTTCATTGCCAGGATGAAGGAAACATAGTAGAAATTAATCACTTATTAAGGGATCGTTTTGATTTTACAGATAGTTCCTTGACTTACAAGCATTTGTTTAGTGACCATTCATAGTTATAATAGCACTGAAAGATGTGACTTGTGACCAGACCTCACATTTATGACAGTTGCAGCATCCCTATGATCCTGTGATTAAATTCAGGCGCTTGGCAACCAGCATGTATTTATGATGGTTGCAGCGCCTGGGATCATGTGATCACCATTTTCAATCTTCCCAGACAGCTGCTGACAAGCAAAGTCAATAAGGGAAGCTAGATTCACTGAACAATCATGTGATTCACCTAACTGCAATGATTCACTTAACAACCAGGGCAAAAGAGGTCATAAAATCAAACCTGACTCATTTAACAATTGCCCTGTTTAACAATGGAAATTCTAATACAACGTAAGTCGCAAGTCAAGGACTGTTTCTACTAGTAAAAGACACATGTTGATTCCCACATTTTAGAATATTTGAGTTGGCATTGAGTTGGTGTATCTAAATGGCCCAAGATAATTTTAACAATAAAGTGATTGTTGTTGATGATGTTACCTAACTAGTTTGGTAATGAAATGTCTGCAAAAAAAATCCCACCAAGCCCAGAGAGCACCAAGGCCTCCATTGAAACCTGTGTATGTAAGTAACAACAATACCTTTAAGTAACTGTACATTGTCTTTAAGGCAAACTCTTTTTTAGAGACTAGCAACTTATTTCTTTACTCCAAAATACTTCATTCCAGAACTTTAAAAGTTCTGATGTACTTAGCCTAGATAGCTCTGTTGATTCTGTTGAGTGGAGGCTTGGATTTTTCCCCAGTGAAAGAAAGGCACATGTTTAGGATATAAAGGAATAAGATGCAGTTGCAGAAATGATAATGTTTCCATTGGAAAATGGAAAGAGTAAATTACATTAAAGCAATTTTCTCAAGGTTGCTTTCTCAGCCTTGGCAACTTTTAAATTGTATAGACTTCAACTCGCAGAATTCTCCATATACCGTAGCTACTGCATTCTAGAGTATAATTTAGTACATATGGGCTTGGGTAAATCTCTGGCTAGCTTTCCAAATGCACATCATAAACATGAAGTTTGTACTGAGAACTTACGAAAGGGAAGCAAAAAGTTGCCCAACTGAGGAGAAGCTATAGTTCACTGATAGATCTGAATGCCAAGAGTGCCAATCAAGCCCTACCTCTGTTGTCTGAGAGGGATGGGAACTGCAATTACAAAGACATAGGGGGCAAGATATTGTAGAAGGCGAGTTTATTCCATTTATAGTCATCAGGAAGTGTGTTGCACTTTGTTATTGATTAAAAAGGAATGCTGCTCTCCCAGGAAATTTGAGTGTCTCATCATTGGTGTTTCCCAGAAATCGGACCAGACGGTTTGCCTTTCGTGATCCAGTATAATCTAAGAAATGTTTTTTAACTGACAGCAGATGAGAAACTCGTCTACCGTGTCAGTGTTCTGGAAATTCCCACGAGCCATATCATGCCAAACTATTAGACTTGGTTAAACCGGAACATCTTTTTCCATGACTCCACAGGTCAGCGTGGAAAAATTGTAGACAGGATACATGTTTGGTCCTGATTCCAAAAGCAAAAGAGCCAATCAGTTTTATCACACTGGTAGACAAACCACTTTGGCACTTTAAAAGCATTTGGGTTAGGAGGTGTCACTCAGAATTACCCTTTTGGGGTCTGCCAATCATTCCCAGGTCACACGGGCTTTTTCCAGAATAGAGGGGGGGGCTGATTCCCACACAGAAAGAGTTGAAAATGGGTTGTTTGCAAGGTCAGATAAGAGTGGATGCTAATTGCTGAAAGCTTTCTTTAAAAAGAAAATAAAAAAAGGAAAAGGGGGAAAAATCAACACCAGAGTACTGATTAAAAAAAGATCCTTCTTTTTTTTGTTTGTCTTCCTGATAGAGAATGGAAGAGGTTCCTCTGTTCCCCAATTTCTATTCTGTTGGAAGTCTTCCAATTTGAGGGGAAAAAATTAAGTGATTCCTTATCTTTTTCCCAGCCTGCTATTGCCTTTTTAAAAACAAGAACGAGAAGGATGGCACAGAGTAAAATGTATGTTTAAATACTTTCCATGGTACTTGAAGCAATCTCTCTTTCTATCTGAGCTACCAGTGGACTTTAGAGGTCCTTCTTCAAGACCCCTCTCTACAGAGTCATAGAATGTGTCACTTGAGGACAGTTCTTGTAAAAGTTCTTGGAATTCTTCTTCCCAAAGTAGACAATTCACACCTTTTCTTTCTCTAAAGCCTTTAGGTTTTAATGTTTGTATATAAGATGGTTAGAACATTTTATCATTGAATTATTGCTCCTTAGAGTTGCTGTAATTTACTTTAAGGAGCATCTTGCTTTGAAGCTTTTATGTGCTTTTAAAAAGATTTTTATCCCAGTCTTTTAAACTACTGTGAGTTCACATTTCTGCATAGTTTTTTTTTTTTTTTTGTCATTTTTCAGATAGTTGGTCATAAACTGCCTGGGGGGAAGGCCAGTTTCAAAAGCAATATATAGATTTTAAAATAAAAAAATACAAAAAAAAATAGAGTTTATTTTTTAAAAAATGTTGGATACAGCAGTGGTTCTTAACCTTTTTGAACGAATCGCCCCCTTGAGCCAATGAGGAAGTTGTCATCGCCCCCCTCCCCCAACATAACCTCTCAATCACAACATAGGAAATAATTCTTCAATTTATGCAAACACTTTTTTGTTTTCTTTAAAATTATCATCAGGACATATCGATGCAAATAGTTTATTTCCAGTCTTTTTTCCATATCTCAACTGTGTGAAAATTTTTGGTGCCACCCGTCACTTTATTCCCAAACTTTGTGATACATGTATTTCATTATTATTTATTCAAGACACTTAAATGTAATGACCACTGAAAGCAAAATTCAATTGCAAGAAAGTGAAATGCCCGAAAAGAAAAACAGTAACCTTTAATGATTGAATTACAAGTGAAATTTAAGATGCATTGCCCCCATATCGCCCCCCTTTTCATTCCTTCACCCCCGCATCGCCCCTTTTCATTCCATCGCCCCCTTGAAAAATGAAATCGGCCCCTGGGGGGCAATATCGCCCAGATTAAGAACCACTGGGATACAGCAACGGAGGCAATTACCTAGATAGGGGTAAACTCCATATCACTGGATGTATTCAAACAGCATCCAGATAGCCATCTATCGTAGATGCTTTGTATTCTTGCAACTAACAACAGGGGAAGACTTCAATGCCCTACAAGGCTCTTTCCAACTCTAGAACTCTCAAGTTATTGTAATGTGGTAATTGAGGCCATCCCAGGACAGAGAGCATAATGCATACCTGTAATTTTGAAGCAGCTATGAGCTGATAGATTTCTAGGCTGCATGGCTCAATCATGGTAGTGATTGAGTAACTAGTAACTTAAGTTGCTAGAAAATGGAGAGGAATACAACATACAGTGGTACCTTGGTACCCAACTGTTTTGAAACTCATCGAATTTGGTACTCAACACATTTTGACTTGAAAATTTTGTCCCGGTACTCATTATTTGTTTAATACAACACACAAACTAGAACTTGTTGGTGTTGTCTGCCTTGTGACTCACTACATTATTCCTTATAGGAAAAATTGTTTGGTACTCATCATTTTTGGTACTCATCATTTTTGGTACTCCCGGAACCAATTAAGGATGAGTACTGAGGTACTACTCTATCCTTATGAGGGCTATAAAAAAGTGGGCTCAGACTGGATTCTTTTATATATTTCAGATCTTGTTTATGATACAAGAGAAAGGAAACAGAAGGGCATATTCCTTCACATATGAGAATTGTCTTCATTATTATATAAGGAAAGCTACTGCTACTAAGGCAGGACTATTTCTACTCCCAGTATTATCCAACACCTTTATTCCTCCTAACATCTATCTTGGGGGTACTCAAGTGTCCTCAAATAATCTCATGCCAGAGATTTCAAGCATGGACCCTTAGTAGTTAATTCCATTCCAGACTTAGTAACCCTTAGATGAGGTTTACGCATCTCTTACATTTGTTATTTTCTCAAGTTTGTTTTAGGAAGCAAATAGGATTAATATTGTGTTCCGATGTGCTTGGGCCATCATTTCCAGAAAAAAAAGGCTTTTAAAGGGTTGAAAACTATACAGGGTAGTGTAAAGGCATCAAATGTCATCTACTTATAATTCCGCACTTAGAGACATCCTCTCTGTTTCAACTGTGCCATAGTTGGAATATATTTTGAAAAAGTGACATCCAGACTAGCAATTAAGTCCTGGAAATTTGCACTCCTGCGAATGCATTTGCATTGCTAGTTTGTCATTAGGAAGACGCGCTCGGCCATCTCATGTAGCATTACAAAAAGTCCAAATTCCAAATATTAGTTCCATAGATTTGAGTGATGAGAAACTGATTTGTGGTGGGAGAAAGTGTTTTTAAGTGGATCCCATGAAAATTCTCCCCTATTTTGCTTTCTTTTGCTTTCCAATTTTGTACTGTGCCATGCAGTTTGTTATCTACTTATCTCAGTGATGAAGAAAGGGGTTACCAGCCCAGAAGTTGAGTCCTGTCTTAATGGAATAATCCTGGATTATAACCCAAATACAGCACTGAAGGTAGACTTCTGGCTCTGGTCATCTATCCTTTATTACATTTTTTTCCCCCAACACATTCTGGATCAGCTTTTACTTTTTGCTTGGAAATTTCCCAGACTAACTTGCAGCACAACTCTCATAGTTAAGGCATTCTACTTAATGTTTAACTTTTACATACCTTCCCTATTTACATCTGAACACAATGCTTCTTGACTTCTTTTTGGCACATACATCCAAGTATTGTTCTCACTCTTCTTTCTGTGAAAATATTTATAAATGCTCAGCGTACTACATTCCATCCTCCTTAATCTGTTTGATTCCTGACTGAAGTACACTTAGATTCCTTTACTTGCAACGCAGGCATAAAGAGCCATTCTGTTGTTGAAGGAAGCACAAAAGTTCAAGCTTTCTGAGATTTTAGGAAGAAGCTTCCCCAGTTCATGGAAAACCCACCTCCGCTTCTCTCCCACATACTTCTCTCCCTCTCCTTCACCTGCACAGTGCTCAGTCTGGCCTTCTGGACATCCAGGATAGGCGATAAAAAGGACAAGCTGCTGAAACCTTTGGTTGCAACTGCCTGCCTGCCTGCCTGCCTGCCTGCCTGCCTGCCTGCCTGCCTGCCTGCCTGCCTGCCTGCCTGCCTATCTATCTATCTATCTATCTATCTATCTATCTATCTATCTATCTATCTATCTATCTATCTATCTATCATCTATCTATCTAATTTGGAAACTCTCCCATCTCCCTCACTCTGGATCAGCGGTTCTCAACGTTTGTGTGACGGCGACCCCCGTCACACAAACGTTATGCGCATGCGCGGCGCGGCGCACCTGGGGGTGGGGCCCCCGCACGCGCCGCGCATGTGCGGTGCCCCCCGCGTGCGGTGCGCATGTGCGGTGCCCCCCCGCGCGGTGCGCATGGGGACGGGCCCCCGCACACGGCGCGCACGCGCGGCGGCGCCCGCCCGCGCAGCGCGCATGCGTGGCACCGGCCCCCGGAGGCGCAGCGCGCCCCCGGAGGCGACAAAATGGCGGATCGCCATGTTTGGCGACCCCACAAAAGAGGTCGATCGACCCCAAATGGGGTCGCGACCCATAGGTTGAGAACCGCTGCTCTGGATGGTGTACAAGTAAAATGTTAAAACATAAAAGCTGTATATGGCATTTAGATAAGAGGCAAAGATACTTAAAACTCAACATTAAAAGTTAATTAAAAGGCAGGGAGTGGGCCTTTGGAGGGTCGACGGTTGCTTGCTTCTTGGGAAGCACAGTCACATTCTATGCTGGCTGAAGCTTCCAGACACTTTTCAAGGGTAGCCCCATGTACAGCATAAATACTACCCTAAGAACCAGCTGCCCTATCTCACTGTTTCCCACACAAAAAAGTGGATTTCACGGGAATTGCTCGGGCAGGGGAAAAATGCCGGAGTAAATTTCCTTTTGGAGCAATGCTGGAAGCCTTAGAATTAACCACATGTGTGTCTAATATTATATGGGCAGCTCAGAAAGCGCAACGGTGCTACAGAATAACAGGACACAATTTTGAAACTGAGTAAGAGGCGGAGCTTTGAGATCTTCATGTCTCATCAAAATAGTCCACAGATGAAACAGATGCAAATTATTCTGTTTGCTCTTCCGCTACTCAGTGAAGAAACCTGTAATTGCCCCAAGACAATCAGAGAGTAAACATTTAAGTATTAAATTACCCACACAACTGGACTATCTGTCTAGAAGAATTCCAGCAAGAAGGGTGTTTTAGCTTTGCAAAATGCTTTTGCTTGAAGCTTCCTGAACACAGAGTGAGGCCTGGCCCTTTTGCTTCTTAGCCATTGGTAGCCAAACTGCACATACCAAGGAATGATATTCTGGTCCTCCCAGCTAGCTGGAAGCTGAAGTGTTAAGTTTTTGTAGACATGCAGGGAGGCCAACATCCCATCTCCTAAACACATTTACCTTGGGGTAAGAAATCCTGGCACCAAGCACTTGCTCCAACCAGGGCAAAGCTGAGGCAACCGTTTCCCTCTAATTAGCTGGTATTTGCTCTAAAGCTGTTACGTTGTTGTTGTTGTTGTTATAAAGTTCTGAAGACAATGGTTCCTTCTTTCTTGCTCAAGCATGATGAAGTAAAATACTAATTTTCCCTGCCAGGCAAACCCCTTCTTTCCTTCACTGCATAGAAAGGAAGGCCAGCTGAGGAAGGCAAGAAGAGTAACTCAGTTCTAAAAACCTGGACAGAGGTTGCAATTATTTTTATTCTGATCATTCACTTGGTATTAAGAGTTACCTATTCAGTTCAAAATGTCAGGATCAATACTTCTGGGTCAAGCATAGAAGAGAAACTCGGGATCCAGATGATGTGGAAATCTGGAGAATGAAACTGGGACAATTCATTTAGGCAAGAAAAACCAAATGTACAGGTATAGTATAGGGGGTACCTTGCTCAATAGTAGTAACCGTGAGAGGGATCTCGGAGTCAATCACTTAAATATGAGCCAGCAGTGTGCTGCAGCTGCCAAAAAAGCCAACACAGTGCTAGGTTGCATTAACAGAGGAATAGAATTAAGATCACGTGAAGTATTAATACCACTTTACAATGCCTTGGTAAGGCCACACTTGGAATACTGCATCCAGTTTTAGTCACCACGGTGTAAAAAAGATGCCGAGACTTTAGAAAGAGTACAGAGAAGAGCAACAAAGATGATTAGGGGACTGGAGGCTAAAACATATGAGGAACGGTTGCTGGAATTGGGTATGTCTACTTTAATGAAGAGAAGGACGAGGGGGGACATGATAGCAGTGTTCCAATATCTCAGGGGCTGCCACAAAGAAGAGGGAGTCAAGCTATTCTCCAAAGCGCCTGAAGGCAGGACAAGGAGCAACAGGTGGAAACTGATCAAGGAGAGAAGCAACCTAGAACTAAGGAGAAACTTCCTGACAGTTAGAACAATTAACTAATGGAACAACCTGCCTCCAGAAGCGGTGAATGCTCCAAAACTGGAAGTTTTTAAGAAGAGACTGGACAGCCATCTGTCCGAAATGGTGTAGGGCAGTGATGGCGAATCTTTTAGAGACCGAGTGCACAAACTGCAACCCAAAACCCACTTATTTATCGCTGGGTGGCAAGTGGGTGTGGCCCACTGGGTGGGCATGGCTGTGGTGGTCATGGCAGACTGGGTGGGTGTGGCCAAGGTGAGTGTGATCACCTCGATGATGCTTGTGGGGAGGGATGCCTGTGGGGGCTGGGTAGGGTTGGTCTGGGCAGGGGGTCTCTGGCAGATGGGGCAATGGGCAGAAGGCTCGTCCTGCAGGGTGAGGCAAGGCAGGGCAGGGGTGCCATTATTGCAGGGCAAGGCGAGGCAGAAGCCGCGGCCAGGGCGGCTGCTGCCTAACACCATCAGTCCCCGCACACAGAGGCCAGCAAGCGCACGGGGACCGACAGTGTCTGTCAGCAGCCACAGCCTGCGGGCCTCTCAACCGGCACACTCTGGGGCTCCACAGCCCGCCGCCAGCAATTTAGAGGAGCCGCCTCTGAGCTGGACAGACGGCTGACAGATGAGGAGGTGATGCGGTGGGTCGTGCCCGGGAAAAGGAGAGCATGCAAGGCCAGGAGGGACGGGACAGGGGGGAGGGAAACCAGCCATGCTGGGATGCATCTGGCCATGTGGGATCTCGACGAGTTAGTGGGCGGCTGGTTGAAGAGGGACGGTTGCCATCTCTGGGACATGGCGCGCCTGCCCACAGAGAGGGCTCCGAGTGCCGCCTCTGGCACGCGTGCCATAGGTTTGCCACCACTGATGTAGGGTTTCCTGCCTGCCTGAGCAGGGGGTTGGACTCGATGACTTCCAAGGTGCCTTCCAACTTTTTTTATTATTATTATTATTATTATTATTATTATTATTATTATTATTATTACTACTACTACTACTGTTGTTGTTGTTGTTGTTGTTACACGAATCTCCCAATCGTCAGCCTTTTCTACAGGCAAGAAACTGTATGTCCCACGACACCATGGAACTTCCACCCGTCATGCAAACCAGGGCCAATGAACCAGAGTCAATGAACCATGCAAGATCTAGTTCTTACTCTAAACATTTTGTGGTACTTCTCCTGAAACTATAGGGGAATACAATAAGCAACAAAAAGACGTAACTCATTAAAACAATAAAATAATAAAAATTATAACAACATGATCTGTGTGAGAGAAGCATTCATTTTCCTAAAAGTACAACCACCTAGCAGGTCCTCCACCAGATGGCCAGATGTCTTTGGGCTCTTACAGAAGGCCAACAAGGTCAGAGCTAATCTGGGCATGACGTTCTAAAAGGCAGGAGCTGTAGCAGAAAAGGTTCTCCTCCTGGGTCCCATCAGATGACATTTCCTCATAAACAAGACCCCCAACATCTCCCTCCAGGGAGAAGCAGTTCCTCAAGCACCCTGGCCCCATGCCATATAGGGCTTTAATGATCATATCAGCACCTAATGTAGTTCATGGAGCAGAAGCACAATGTGCACTGATCTACACACGCACATAACTAACTGCCCACGTTACCACATTCTGCACCAGCTAATGCTTCAAGAGTCCTCCTTCTTGTACATAGAAATGTGTTTTCCCCCCCCCCAATATAATGGCATGATCCTACCGTATACATTGACGGCTGAACTCTTTTCCTCAAAGCTGCATCTTCATTGTAGCCTGAGGGTCCAGATGGAATAATGGCCCAACGGAGCTCTGAGGCTGCCAGTGCAAGTGAGGGAAAAATGAAACGTCCAATGTTTATTTAAGCAAATAAAATGAAAAGGAGTTTTTCATACAGATTATGAAACTGACTAGGACTAACTAGAAGGTTTAAGTTCCTTGTTAAGGTTCCTATGAAATGTATTAGAGGATGGAGAGCCAGGGAGGTGGGCAAGATGTCCTGGCAAAGGAAAAATGTGCCCACTCTGAAGTTCCCTGCAGTTTTGGGGCTGCAAATTGTAAAACAGAAGCACAGTCATTTGAGCCAAACTGCACAAAACTGAAAGAAAATCAGTTGAGTGGCTCCAGGATGCTATATTTCTATATTTCCATATTTATTTCTATATTTCTATATTTATTTCTATATTTATTTCTATATTTATTTCTATATTTATTTCTATATCAGGGTTTAAGGCACTTCTGTTCCTTCCTACTGTGAGGCAACCAAGCCCCCTGCCTAATACTGAGCCTGTCCTATCCAGTTTTCAATTTCTCATTTCAGCATTCAGAAAAGTCTGCATGCTTACTCAATTACTATTTTGTCCTACTCAGACCTTTCTCTCCCTTTTTTGCTACATTAGTATTTGTACTCTTGCATGAAGATCAGGGAAAGGGAATCATCTAGATCAGGGGTGTCAAACTGCTGGCCCGTGGGCCGGATGCGTCACAGGAAAACCACGCCCACCCCATTGCCGGCAATGGGGAAAAAGCTCCGATACGTTGCGCAACATCACATGACGTTGTGAGTTTGACATGTCTGATCTAGATCTAGCAAAATTGTCTTTCTCATAATCAAAACCTCAGCCTAAGCAGGTGTCTAGCTCTCATGGATGTACAAACAATATGTTATAATTTTGGACTCTTTTC